GGTCTTTTGGCTAAGATGAAGTATAATTTATTTCCCCTTCCTTTCAGATTTGTTTTTCAGAGATGTAGGCAATATGAGAGAAGACTTTCAATGGAAGAAAAGTATTTCTAAGCAGTGCACCTGCAAATACCTGTCTGGAATATCCTTGGCTAAATTTGGATTTTGAAGTCATACTTTAAATAACCTTTATTTTCAGCTTTTAAAAAAAGGCCTTATATCCCAAATTAAGGGAAAAGAACTTTCTCTCCAAAGCAGGCTTGTAAAATGTAGCCTTCCTTGCTTTGCTTTATTGTGAAGCATAGAGGTATCAATAACAGAAGAAATAAAATGGAATGGGGGAATGAAAAAAAAAAGTATATATTTTTTTAAATGGAAAACCTCCATTACCTGTCTCAATGTGTGAGTTACTAGTTAGGTAGGCCTCTGTGGTAAAAGGAGATGCTAGTTTCAGGGTCACTCATTTAAAATAATTTGTTAAAAAAAATAGGGAACAGCGAAGATTTAGAGGGCAACCCCCTTTGCTCACCTCTGAACTCTTCATAGGGCTGCTTGTTAAACAAAGAAAAGGGAGGAAGCCTGGCCCTACCTGATTGGCATTAAACTGAAAACAAGCCTTTCTGAGGGAAGGGAGACATCTGGAGAAACAAGTGCAGTGAACAATTGCTGTACCTCTGCTCTATTAGTAGCCCTGTGAATGGCTTCCACTAATAACACTGAAATTTCCTGTAGTTACCATTTTTATAATTGGAATCCTATGCCTGCCACAGTGGCACTATAGGCAGGAATCTGCCTATTCAGAATTCAGAAAAACTGAAGGTTTTGCAAAAGCAATCATATAGTGATGGGGAAAGTTTCACTGGGTAATTTTCAGCATGCAACTCTGGTTGAAAGTGTTAAAAGCACATTGTCAGAAAGAGGGAGAAACCCTAGTATTACTCTGTGTATAGGAGAAAATCTTTAGCAAGAAAGAGTTAAGACATCGTGCTGTTTATGAACCAAAAAAGCTCCTGTGTCAAGTCAATTTATATCCAATCTATGCACGTCATTTTACAGCTGTTTCTGTCTTGGCATAATAGATATGTCAGTTTACAACACAGAGACATCTGCTTTTCAAGGTTCTTGCATCATTTCCTCTCCTTTAATTTAATAGCTGAAAATTTAAAAAGCCATTTGGAAATCTTCATTTTATTACCTGTAGTACTGGAAAGACTGTTATGTTATGTGGTAACCAAAGAATAGGCTCTGAAACATAAGTTCATCCAAGAAACAAATAAATTGTTTATAGCTACAATTTTTTTCCTGAGCATCAGAACTCTAGGATTTAAAGTTTCCACCCCAAAAGAGCAGCTAATGGCAATAAAACTAAGATTAAAATAAGCTTAACTAAAACAATCATAAAAACAAATAGACCAAAAATAGTAGCAAGAAAATAAAATTTAAAAGTATTCAAGCAATGGAATCTGCTTTAGCAAAGGCACAGACCAGCTTACCTGCTCAAGGCCCACTTGAATAAATACATATTTGCCTGCAAGCAGAAGGACAACAAAGAGGGAGCCAACAGCAGGGAGATCCAGAGCCTGAGAGCAGCTACCAAAAAGGCCCTATCTAGTGTCCCCATCAAATCTCCAATAGTGATTGAACCAAGGAAAGGGCTTCCATGGAAGATCTGAAAACTCAGGTAGGCTTGTGTGGGAGAATATAGTCTTTTAGTTAGCCTAGCTACTTAGCCACTTACCTGGTAGCCTAGCTTCCTAGGCTACCAACAACTACTCTGTTTTATTCATTTTCTAATGTTCCTAAGTGCTGAAAATTGTCAGTGGTTAGAGATGGCTAATGTGATCCTGCTTATTATAACTTTCTGAGTTCATGACACTTGCTGGCTAAATGTTCTATTAGGAATAGACTTTCTTGGAACTGAGATTTTAATGTTTTTCTTTTAGTCCACTTAGAATATGCTGTTGTGCCCTCTTGGTTATCTGGGAAGCCTTTTCAAATATAATTTGGAGCAGTGAGATAGATTTGGAATGATCCCATCAAATTATTAAGAGTGAATTCTAATAGTGAAATTATTATGTGCTGAAATTTCTCCCACTGACATCAGGGGGACTGTATGATGACTAACTTTGGCTGGAGTGGCCTGCTGCACCTACAAAAAAACCTCTTAAAATCATCCTTAATTGTTAACCTGTTTGTTTATTTTACAAGACTTCACATCCCTTTATTCCTTTCAAATGCTAAAAGATGCTAAAAGTAACTAAGAGTTGCTAAAAGTAGATTAAAAACAATATAGCAATATATTAAAACAGCAAACCAGTCAAAATAGATTAGGAAAAGAAGGTTTCCACACCAGCATAAAATAAAGAACTTCAGGCATAGCTAGAAGGTCTCAACTGTTTTCTTTCCTCTTTGTACCCACCTTATCGATAATATCTGCACAGGTTCCAAGTTTATGCTTTCCAAGTTACATGTTTCTTTGTATACAAATGTGTCACTGACGCAGGTTCAAAATAGAGACATTGGAATAATCTGCAACAGGTTCAAATGCTTTTGGATTTCTTTGAATCTGACGCACAGATTTCACAGCAGGCAAGTTTTTCTTGGGTTGCATAGATTACATGGCCATGTAAACTTTTTGTTTTTTTACTTCCTGGAATTTCTTTTATGCATTTTTCCATGTTTGACTGAATAAAAGCATGTGTTCAACATTTCCTTAGCCTTTAGCAGAGAACTTAATTACAGGCTGCCCTCTAGTTTATCCCCCTGTGTCTTTATGATGACATGCTGACATACAACATCCTAGACAGCAGAACTCAGTGGCTGATGGGAGATGACTTTTCTGATGGGCAATCTAATTCTCTTTAGAGTAGAGGTCTTGCAACGGCACCAGTTCTGTGGAGAACTTCATTTTCCAGAAGACCTTTTTGTCAATAACAGAATGTACAGTTAGACTAACAGGAGGCATCTAGGCATGGGCAGAATTTATGAGATTTATTCAGTAGAAATATGTTTGGACATTCTGAAGGAAATATATAAAACCCCCCAACATGACTGCAAAAACATATAGCAGTGCATACAATACAGGGAATCACATGATTGTGAAAAGAGGCAAGAGCATGCTGTTGGGAATGCAAGAGGCAGTTCTTTTTTACCTTCCAAGGCCAGGCAAACTGAGACTCTTCAAAGAGGGAAGAGGATGAGCCTTGAAAAATGGGACCCTGAGAATGGCCACAGCCTGCAACTGCCAAGGGGATGTGTGGAACAGGAGCCAGAGAAGCCTGTTACTATTTTCGACCCTATGACACAGTGCTGGGAGAAAAAGACTAGCCAACTGGAGGGGCAGTGTACAATTAAGAGGCTGGCCCGTCTACAGAGGGGCCCTTCCAGAGGGGTGGGGCCCTCAATAGGAGGGTTCTTGGAGGTGGTTTCTCATGTGGGTTCAACAAATCTCTCTGTGTATGCTCAGAGGCTTTTTCTTTAGTTGATTATGCTTTCTTGGATGAACACTGGGGAACAAAGAGCTCCAATGCCAAATAAAATAAAATAAGCCTTGAAAGGGTAAAGGGGGAAACCTAACTCCGGACAATTGCAAACAAATTCAAAGTAACATCTAGTTTGGCCCTGAGCGCTGACTGCTACTGAACTTTTTCAAACTGCAGTGCTAACTGGTATCTTAAAGATGTTTTGGCCTACAATCCCCTGCATTCCTGACCATTGACCACGGTGGCTAGAGTGATGGGAATTAAAGTCTAAAGTGTCCTGATAGCATCAGTTGGGGAAGGCTGGCCTAACCAGTAGTTCTATAATCCAAATTAACAAATACAGATTTTGTTAAAACTAGAAGTAGTTTTAGGCTGCAATCAAATTCACTCCACATCAGTCTTATATCCATCCAAGGCATGGAATTAAGCATGATGGGCGTGATCTCTGCTACTGTTGCACTTCTCCCCATGTATTTATACAAGATGGATGTTTTTGGCTAAGATTTACTACTAGAAAGGGGGAGGGAAGGAAGCTGGGGTGCTGAACAGAACTGGTATAAGGTGATGGTCCCAGCTTCCTCACTCTGTGAAGGGTGGTGGGGAAGAGGCTTAGCCTTTGGAATTCCGGCTGTGAGATTGCAGGGACTTCAACCTGCTTTCCAAGCAAGCTATATTGATAAATCAACATTTAAGAGTTACCTCAAAATGGATAGTGAGCCTTCCAGGTGCCTGCACAAAGGAAACAGGGTGTTGCCCTCTGTCTGATCTGTTTATGGATATTTTAAAACTAATTGTGTTTCACTCTGTCAGTATAGCTTTCAAGGCAGGTAGCTAACAATTAAAAAACTAAAATCAATAAAGGAATACTTATAAAACATTAGCATATTGTATTTTCCTAAGCTGATTGCTGAGGAAGAGTTAGCTGAACAGAGTGCCAGTTTTTTTTCCTTAACAGAAAGCTTATTAAGAACAAAAAAATTCTTTCTGCTTAACCTTCCCTCTAACCATGTATTTACTATTGCAGAAAATGAATGGAAAGTTTGAGTAAAGTGTACCAAATACAAATGCTTGACATTTAGTCACCTTTTCTCTTCCCCCCTCTATGAGTACAGATTGTTTCCAGAACTCATGGGAACAACTTTCATTGCCTACCCTTTTGTCTAAGAGACTTTGACATTAAATTTGCTGCTCTGATCACCAAGGTGGTAAATTACTGTATATGTAATTTCCACATATCAAGCTTGGCATTAACCCTTGCTTGGAAACAAAGTCTTTGAGAGAAAAAAACACAATCCAAACCAAAACAATCATGATGAGCTAAACTTGCGTATTTATCATCATCAGCTATTTAAAAGTGAGTGACAAACCAAACCTTTGACAACATTTGGGTGACAGACACAAGTGACAAAAGATCTGCTAGCATGGTAAGCAGCTTACTATGAATGCATGAGGCATGATTTAAAATGTGTTAGTTTTTTATCTGAATAATACAAAGAAAAATATATATTGTTTATCTTGCAGAAAGTTAAAACTACATTAGTTTGTGCTTCTATCATCATGATGGTCCTCTTGGTAGCTGAATCATCACGTTCCTCAAAGGTAAAATTTAGAGCTAAAAAAGTATCTCTGGAACAGTATAGAACATTTTTTCCAGTGAATAATGACAACTTTCCTTTTGCAGAGTAAACTCATAGCAAGAAATTGGGGCCCACAATCAATGCTATATCTCAAGGGACGATGTAAGTTGTGGTGACTTAATTTCATAAATAAATACATCAATTTAAAATGTTTGGTTCCATTCAAGTGAGTATTCATTGTTGTCTATTAATACTACATTAAATAAATATATCTCCATATGATTATGTTTTTTGACAGATCATTCTGACAAAACAATTAATAGTATATTAGCATCAAAGTACTGGTAAGAATACAGATTTATAAATAAGTATAGGCATTTATTACTGAAATTTAAGTATTTATATGCTCTATTACTTTCAGTGGCAAGCACTGTGTTCTAAATAAGTTGTACAGAATTACTGGTACAAAAACTTTTGCTCCAAAACTTTGGGAAAATTGAAACTGCACAAATATTTGTGAAGGTGTTGATCTCAATTAAAAACATGCTATTTTTATTCTGATACTAATTTGAATTATTTAGGAGAGAATTGTTTGCTATCAGCACAAAATGAATTGTAGTTTCCCGATCCATTTTATAAAAGCAACAATAAACTGACATGGTTCTCTGAGGAACTATGTCAAATGAGCATTTACTTAATTGCAATTAAGAAATAAGGAACGTGTATGAATAAATTGTAAACTAATTTAGAATTAGTTATAGTTGTAAATTAAGGAAAATGCAATCAATCTAAAACAGAACCTGCTAACTTTAATAAAAGGGTGCCACAGAGAAATTATCAGCAAAGTGTAATAGATATTTGAGATGTTAGAATTGACTGGATGCTACATGTCCATAAGCAACTTTATGTGCATTTATAGTATCTATGTCAACACGATATAGTTTGAGGATTTTGTGCAGAGGAATTAAAATATATCTAAACATTAAGAGCAGAGATATCTCCACCTATAATTTTTCAGTATAGTCTGGTTTGCTTCCATTTTGTTCCTTTGGATTTTGTTCAGAAGTGCTACATGCATAAAATCTACCGTAAAACAGATCAAAATTAAAACTCACAGTACCTTAGAAGATGCATTTAGCCCAGATCCTCTCAATGAATGAGCTCTTCTCATTGCTCTTAAAGGTGGTTTAACAGCAGCAGCTTCTCATACTGGAAGTGGACCATTACATGCACTGGAACAATTTTATTTATTCATCTAATTATTCAGTCTGTCAATTTACAAGCTGCCCTTCAGTAATAGGACTTGCAGAGCTGCGTGTAATTCAAAAACAAATACAATAAAATCATAAAAATAACAGTCAAATCACAGAAGCAAGGCATAGTTTAATCTGGCAAAAAGCAATAGCTAAATAAAAATGAATTAAACTCACCATAAAACCTAGTGTGACATAAAAACTTGGGCAAATAAAATGCCTTTGCCTATTACTGAAAATACATGAAAATAGTATTAGGCAATCTCTGGGCACACCAATATGGCAGTACATTTCCCATAACATTCTTCCTAACATCAGATGGTGGGAAAACCTACAGGACAGCCTCAGATGACTTATAAAGAGCTAAGGTAGCTTTATGGGGGGAAAGTTGGTCATTCAACTAATGATGTCCCAAGCTATTCAGGGTTTTAGAGGGAACAACTGTCTTTCCCAATCAGCTGCTCTCCAAATGTTTTAGATTTTGGTCTGTTCCTCCATCCTTGTCCACATGCAACATGGCCAATGGTCAGGAATCTTGGAGACTTTTGTTCAATACATCTGGAGGGCACCAAGTTAGAGAAGGCTGGTTAATAACTAACATGTTGATTGTTCTTGGAATTAGACTGGAAGCTGGTGCAGTGAAAAGCACCAGTGACGTGTTCTCTGTAGCTAACCTCTGTTAGTACTCTAGCAGTTGTTTTCAGTAATAAGTGAAGTTTCTAAGAAGGCTTTAAGAGGCAACAAGACACTGGGTAGTTGATCTGAGAGAGAACGTATCACTATGGTCAAGCAATCTCTGTCCAAGGAGAGTCACCACTGGTGTGGCAGTCTGACCTGGCAAAAGGTTCTGCATGCTTACAGATATCAGGCAGGCTTCCAGTGGCAGTCCTGAAAATCAGTATCCCTAAGTTGCACACTTAATCTAGTTTGGAGAAAATTTAATACTATCTGGACCAAGCTGACAGTGTGGCTGACCATGGGGTGCCCTTGCTCTGCTCTTGCCACTGGTGCAGCTCTTTCCATGCCAGCCATGGCTCCAAAGTGGCAAGAATGATTCTGGAACAGCCGGGGGGAGGGGGCATTCTAGGGGGCAGGGGAGGAAGGAGGGAGGCGCCACTGACACGCATCAGCCTCTCCTCCTCATGAGCAGGGGCAAAAGACACAGACCTCTGGAATTGGCCATCTGTGTCTTTTGTAGGGTGAGAAAAATGCAGAGGCATTCCTTGTCTCTGATCTCCTCTGGAGCTCAATTGGATGTTCATAATCCTCCGAGCTTGGAAGGTTATGAGCAGCCACAATGGACTGCAACTATAGTATCTTATTCTCATCAACAAGAACATTTAGTAGCTGCTATAAAAATCTGGGACCCCTTTAATTTCAGTGAGACAACAAACTGGTCCAGCATAAGGATTTTTTTTCCAGAGCTGCTAAATGAAGATCATAAAAATAACTAAACTGAGCATTGTGAAAGCGAAGGACTGCAATAAGCTGGAATTGTATGGATAGCAGAAAGCTTTGGTATTGGTCTAAAGCCAAAGACATTTTTGGGTTTGCTCTGAAGGAGTAATGCAAGGGCTCCTTTCTCGCATCACAACCATAGTCACAGTGAGATGTGGGTTGTCATTGAACTGTGAGTTGTTGAAATGTGGCTAGTTGTGTTGTGGGAATCCAGTTTTGCTAACAAACCATTTCTATTTTTATCAGTCTTTTATGTTCAAGGCTATTAAAATAATTTGAAAATACCTGGAATTTCATATCATTTCAGTCATTATCATCCATAGCTCAATTATACTTATTGAGGTACATAAGCTACATTCCATGCAAGAAAACTTGTTCCTGTTGATGTAACAGCAGCTTAATGGCTATACTGTGGCCACATCACCCTCAGTGATGCTATATATTCCCAGGGACAGCTTGATAAGAGAGGCAGATTGTACTAGGGTGTTGTTGGACGGAAGCGTATGTTTCATATCTGGTTTTTCATGAAATGTCATGGTTCTTCTTCACAGATTAGAATACTGTGGTAATTCTAGAAGCTTCTGGATGCTAAAATGCAATAGGGCTTGTGCCCTGAGTACTGGAGAGGACATTAGATGAAAATGGGGGTTTCTTCAAATATAAATTACAATTTCTTTAAGGAAGAAATTCCTTCACTCCTCCCTCAAATGCAGGGTTGATGTAGTGCAGGCTTTGCAATGGGTCAGGGGAACTTCAGCCAGCCCAAGGGCCAAATTCAATTCCCAAGAAACTATCAGGGATGCATTCAGTGGTGCTTGGAGCCAAAGGCAAGAGCCTACTTTCTAACAAAATATCAGCATATTTTAGCTTTAAAATTTTATTGTTGAAAGCTGAGGTGCAAACTTTAGATGGGAAGGAACATGTAAAAGCCAGGAAATTCTAGATGATCATCAATCAAAAGAACGGGGCTCTATGGCTAGGAAAAGTGGGCATGGTCAACTGAGAAATGCCAGAGGGGCAGATTGGGACCCTAGGAAGACCAGAGTTATTCCATAGAGCAAACGTTCTTACCCTAGTTTATCATGGTTTTGACACCAAGCCAAACTGCTTCTGCAAGTCTCTTCCGTATTATTTATCCTAGCAGACAGAGTAGTTCTGCTAGAGTCAAGGCTGAACCATATGCAATGTTAAATCATGATTGTACTGAAATGTATGATTGCATTTAACATGATTCTTTCAGCATGTATTTTTTAAATTTTCTTAATAGTAGCTGTGTGGTGAGAGTAGGATCAGGAATGTGTTGTATGAAGAAAGGAACAAACACTTTCTTCATGTTACTGTCCTTGTAAAAATATTAGCATTACCCGCAGCTGCTTTTGAGATCACCCCCAAGCTGCCAGAGGAAACCTGTTTGTCCTCTGACAATGAGGATCATTAGACATCAGCTATGCACTATCACTTTTTAAAAAGATAATGGTTTTATTTTCTCTTTTTTTCTTATAGATGGTAGAGGATATGCTGCTTCCGATAATGAAGAACAGTGCTACAAGCTTGATTGGGATGATTTGAATACAGTCATGAAAAGTATTTATTTGTAATTACATACATCATTAGAAGTTGTGAATCTAATCCAGTCACAACTACTTTGCTCCACTGTTTTATATTTGAGAAAAGAATATTTATCAGTACAGTGGTTTGGTTTATATATGCAGTATGGATTGTGCTACCTTGTGCAGCCTTTAGCACTATGCCTGTAGTGTTTGTTCTTGATAGGAAAACACCATTGTTGGTGTGTTAGAAATCATTTATGCTTGTGCAATGTAATCTGTGTTAATAGTGGTGCCAAGCTGGACCCTACTCAAATTCTCTATGCTTTGCACAATTCCAAAAATTGAAAATCTAGTGATACACTTAAGCACAATTAGACAGTAGAACCCAATGAAGCAAAAAATCCACATGCCACCACAGCTTGGGAATAAGAATTAAAAAAAAATGGAGAAGTGAAGAAGTTTGCATTTTATTTCTTCACTGCTGCTTAGGATACTTTCAGCAGGTCACCTACACAATGGAGAATTATCATAAACATTTCAGCTGCTTTGCTTCATTCTTTGTGTTGGGGTCAAACTTACTGCAGGCTCAGTGCAGAATCACTGAACAATCAGCTTCCCTTTGATGGAGGGGCCCTATTCATGGAGGGAAACTTTTTGAGGGATCCTGAAAAGCAAGAGGAGGGAAAAGCCCGCTTCCACCAGCTCAGCTGCACACAACTAAATGTGGCTCTAACCAAGTGTCACTAGAATTTACATGACTAGCATTTGAATTTCTGCTTGGCAAGCCTAGATTTTTGCAGTTACTAGACACTGCTAAAGCAAAATTTCTTCTAGTTCTGATTCACAGAGTCTCAGAAGTGGTGTACAGAGTATTTTTTTCTAGTATAAAGGAGGAAGAAAGATTTAAAAATTAGAAGTAGGAGCTTGGGAAATATGTGCAAAATCACAGGGAAGTATTTTAAGGGGAGCCATGTGGATTTACAATTTATTTATTAAAATATTTTTGAACCACCCTTCATCTATACCAGGGCAATGTGCAAGTATGTTTAAAACAAAACACAGTAATCAAAACAGTAAAACTGCATGATCAATCAAATATGTATCTTTTTTCAATATAGGTTACAAACGAACAGCTCCGCTGAAATTCCTGAACATCAAAAGAAGATTAACTGCTCAGAATATGGACATTGATAATTACTTAGATTAACCATTTATTTATTCATCCTTCCAGTATTGCAGAGACTCTAAAGGTGCCATCCTATGCATGTTTAAACAGAAAAAATCGTACAGCTCCCAGGCAGCTATGTTGACAAGGGGATGCTGGGAGTTGTAAGACTTTTTGTAAGACTTTTTATGTATAAGTTTATGTTCTAAATAATTTGAAAAGTGTGCTACATATATAAAATGTATGAGTTCCTGTGAAAAGTTCCATTAGATATTGCTTACTTTATTAGATACAGATTACTCAGTCTGTTTTCATAAGCATTGTTATTTCATTTATTAAAGGTGTATTTGAAACATTTTCATCTAATGGTGTTCAAAATGTTAACAAGAACTCTTAAAAGTCTTGATTAGCCTTTTCCGCAAGTGTTGGGTAGAGAGAGATGAATGCATGTTTTGATCACCTGATATTTTTGTGTTTCTTTTGCATCATACCACACACCCCAGTTTCAGTTCCCAATGCAGCAGCACATGGAATATTCAATTTGCTAATTTATTTAGGATATAATTATTTCCATGTTTGGAGAGAAAAAAGTCATACAACTCCCAGAATTCCCAGCATGCTTTTTTCTTTCTAAACATGCATAGGGTGTTAAAAATCCAGGTTGTTCTGGATTGTTAAAAATCCAAAACTCCAGGTGAGGTACCTTTTCTTGTTGTCCTTTAGAGTCACACAAAAACTTGATACTTATGTTTCTTTGATTTTTCTTTCCACCATCTCCAATTTAATTATTAGTGATACAGCTAAAAATTGTAAGTTACCATGTGTAATTGTTTTACAGTTAGCAACATACCAAACATCTAACTGGTATGTTGATGACCAGTATCTTTGAAACAAGAAATGAGCTTTGCAGATAATTGCAAAATATTTTCCACCCACACAGGCCAAATACATAATGTGCTGCAGGGAGTTTGGGTGCTGTTGAAACTGGCAAGGAATTGCTACTCATCCTGAACAAGTTCATAACTGCAGGATAGCCATATATATTGGAAGAGTGAGGACTTCATTTTATTCCAGCCAAGGTTAATTTTTTCTTTGCATTCCACTCAGATGGCTTATCTAAATGAATGTGCTAGTGCCATTTTCTCACAGACTTCTTAACCTTTCCTCCAAAATATGAAAATGTTGATATATTTTTTTTAGTTCACTGCTTTTTTAAATACTCCCTGCAATCTTTTTAAAAAACAGATTGATCATTAAAAGCTTTCAAAACATTGTAAATCTACATAATCATTCTAATTACTTTTTCCCTATTTAGCAAATTTCCATCATGGATGATAACCACTTCTTACTGCTTTTATCTTCACATTACCAATATAAGCTGTGAAGAGAAATTAATATATAATTAAGAGCTTATTGAAGTGAATGAGAATGACATGCAGAAGATGTAAAATATGCTTCAACAAATTCAACTTACCCCTATTATTCCAGATCTTTTTTGATTTTTACACAGGAATGGGGTGGCAGGGAGAAGTACATTTTGCTAGTAACTGGTAGTGTGATCTCCTAACCACAATAATCTAATTTCAAAGCAAAAGTTCTTAATGGTACTTCGTGATAAAATGCACTTATATAAAGCCACTATTTTATACTGCTTCTCTCTGGATTATTTTGGCTTCCCAAGCAGTGAGCCAGGTATTTGCTGGGCTTGTGATTTAGTATAAGGTATTAGCAACCATTACTTTTCATTACATTAATGGCACACAGAGTTCAAGCTACAATTTCAACAAATTATTTGACAGGTTTTGTAAACCCAAGTATACAACCACCAATTGCAACATAAGACACTGTAATATTAGCTATAGAAGGCATTGTAATTCAGATAGATCTAGACGTTAATTCAACTCTTGACTTTATCCTTCAACATTTATGTGACCCACATCACCATTGTACCAAGTGACCCAGAGACTCACATACATTTCACATCCATTTTTCAAGGTAGGCAGATGTATTCTTTCATTTTACAAAAGTGACCATGATACATATTCTGTGACCAACAGGTAGCCTGCTTTCAAAGGCAACAATTGCATTTATTCTGAGGGTTGGCAGGATCTAGGACAATATGGGTTTTTTGCTTTTAAAAATATCAGCCCTGTGCTAGTCATAAAATGGCATGCATGGCTCAGTGTAAATGTAAGGTGATGTACACTGGGTAAAAATAAATCCAAATTTCACATATACACTGCTCTGAATTGGCTATAACTAACCAGAAAAAGAAATCTGGTCAATTAGTAGTTTGCAGTAGTCAATTATGGCTGGTGCTCCTTGAGACGGGTAGGGTGGAGGGGAAGGCAGCCAATGGAAACAGAATTAGACACTATGGTAAGAGGAATATAGTTTTGTCTCAGTCTTCCTCCTTTCCAATTACACTAACAACAGTTGAGCACTACAGTACAATCCATTATGTAACAATGTTTTAAAAGACACTATTTGCTAGCTAGACTGCTGGCATTGAAAATGGAGAATATAACATTTCTGGACCAGTCAGTCTCTGCTGAGTGACTAGCTTATACAAAGCTTAGTTCCTATTTGCTTACACCTGCTGAGCTTTTGATATACCATTGAACTGAAGCTCGAGATTCTCTCTTAGGCCAGTTTCTGCAGTGAACCCTGCTTAAGCTCTAGAACCCTGCTCAAGCTCTGGCCATACTCAGGTAGCTTGCTTGTACCTAACAAGGTTAGACTAACTTTTTTTTTTTTTGGAATAAAGACATTTTCAATTTTGGATATCTGGCTGAGTTGTTAAAATGGATTCTTACTGAACACTTTCCTGTGTGAAAGAATGCAGTTACAAAACTACAGTTTGTGTTCTCAGCATTTTTACAAGGTTTGGAAAAGTTCCATGTTTCTGGGCTTTGGACTAGAAAATCCAAAGTGCCTTTTCTTTCCCTGTTTTCTGGGGCTGGACTGAAGGGAGGAATTGTTGGCAACAGGGTGTAGAAGTTCCTCAAGTAGCTGGATAGAACAGGATGCACAGGTATGGTCATCCTGACTGGTGGCAGATTATCATTAATTCTGTTTTCTGGGAAGCTTTGTAATGAATAAGTCTATCAGTAGGAAAAGTCATCCCTTCACCCAGTCCATTATAATGTTCCATCTCCATCCCTTTCCTAATTGCCTCATAAGGATGCAGGCAGGAGGGAGCTGGCTGGGGGCAGCCTGAGTGACAAGGAGGTGCCCCATTTGCCCTGTAGATAGTTCACGTAAAGACATTGCTCTGGTGTGTGTCAGCTTGAAAAAGCCAAATGCTGCACTAAGGATTATTAGGAAGGTGATTTTTAACAGTGTCCCCATCATAATGCCCTTACAGAACTATATAGTGAGGTCACACTTGGAAAACTGTGCACTGAGCAGATAAGTAACGGGGAGGGGGCATTATAGAGGTTTATAAACTTGTGCAGGATGTGGAGAGTGTGGTGACAGTGTCTTCCTCCCTCCTGGCAGCTGATCCAGGACAGAGAAAAGGAGCTTCTACTATGTAATTAATGTATGGAGTCTCCTGCCAAGAGATGTGGACAGTAGATCAGAGGGTCTTTAAAGGGATTCAATAGATCCATGGAGGATGCAGCACTGCTTCGTCTTCAGATGAAAAGGCTGCCAGAGTGGCATACTCATCCTATCAGTGGAAACCAGTCTCTGCCCATAAGTGTTTTAGCTGACTGACATTTGTTGTTGTTGTTGTTAGTCGCGAAGTCGTGTCCGACCCATCGCGACCCCATGGACAACATTCCTCCAGGCCTTCCTGTCCTCCACCATCCCCCAGAGTCCACTCAAGCTCACGCCGACCGCTTCAGTGACTCCATCCAGCCACCTCATTCTCTGCCGTCCCCTTCTTCTTTTGCCATCTATTGTTCCCAGCATTAGGCTCTTCTCCAGGAAGTCCTTCTTTCTCATTAGGTGGCCAAAGTATTTGAGTTTCATCTTCAGGATCTGGCCTTCTAAAGAGCAGTCAGGGTTGATCTCCTCAAGGACTGACCAGTTTGATCGTCTTGCAGTCCAAGGGACTCGCAGGAGTCTCCGCCAGCACCACAATTCAAAGGCCTCAATCCTTTGGTGCTCAGCCTTCCTTATGGTCCAGCTTTCACAGCCATACATTGCAACTGGGAAAACCATAGCCTTGACTATACGCACTTTTGTTGGCAGGGTGATGTCTCTGCTTTTTAGTATGCTGCCTAGATTTGCCATAGCTTTCCTCCCCAGGAGCAAGTGTCTTTTAATTTCTTGGCTGCAGTCCCCATCTGCAGTGATCTCGGAGCCCAGGAAAATAAAATCTGTCACTACCTCCATTTCTTCCCCATCTATTTGCCAGGAAGTGAGAGGACTGGATGCCATGATCTTAGTTTTCTTAATGTTGAGTTTCAGGCCAACTTTTGCACTCTCCTCCTTCACCCGCATCATGAGAAAGGCGGGGCTAGATGAATCACCAGTTGGAATTAAGATTGCTGGGAGAAATATCAACAACCTCAGTTATGCAGATGATGCCACTTTCATGGCAGAAAGTGAAGAGGAACTAAAGAGCCTCTTGATGCGGGTGAAGGAGGAGAATGGCTGACATTACACAAATAGAAAAAGAGATTGTGTGAGAAGGAAACAAGAGGAAATACAGCAGCAAAACTTACACGTTAAATAACCATTCTTGTAATGACTGGCTGGAAACAGGTTAAGGAAGAGGAGGAACCTGGTCTGTCAGTAAAGCAGGCTGCTCCTCATCTCATCTGCTGCAGCCTGGTGAAATTGTTCCTGCTTAATGACCATTAAGGGAGAAATGTGATAGAGCTGATCTTCATATAACAAGCTGAAAGCACGATAGTAATTTGGATTTCAAGAAACATTTCACAGCGTACAAAATGATTACAAACATATACACGCATGCATGCACATAAACATTATGAAATGGCAAACAGATGTGGCAAACACCCCCTTCTCATATAAATCAGCTCTTTTCTTTACCCTATTATAATATCTTTGTTTTTGTTGATTTGTAAACTCCCTAACAAATACCCTCAGTGTGCTTATAATCATAAACCAAAGTACAACATAAGTCAAAGTAATCAAACAAACCAAACATAGAACAATAAAAGTATCACATTCATTATATTAACATATCAAACACTGTTGACATCAGAAGCCAACATCAATTCAACAGAATTAAAGCTTAAATGTCTGCATGAAGAGGAAAATCTTAACCTCCCCAAGTATCTACCATGAAGATGGAGAGATTGAAAGGTGCCCTTTGATGCCTTAGCTCAAAGCTTCTTGTATGTGAAAAGAAAGCTAAACTACAGCAATGTACTTCTGTTAGCACAAAGTGTTCTGCAGCTGTTTGCATACACTTTTATGTCTCAAAATGCATGCTAGTACAAGACATTGGAAAACTCTTGCACAAGCTCCTGCAGAACCTATCAGGATGCATGCTTGTGCTAAGCTTAGCACTGTGCAAAGACTTCCTAATGCTCTTCTGCAGCAGTTTGCTGAACAGTGTAGCCACCAGAATGTCTTCTGCATTGATTGATTGTCTTTATATGCTACCCATATCCCGAAGAACTCTCTAGGTAGCTTATACTAGAACAGCAAAAAGAACAATAAAACAACAGTTAAAAATATAAAATCTATTAATACAAAATCTGACAGCTGGCAAAGAAATCACAACAAAGCACACAGCAGCAGAAATTAAAACAATGTTAAAACCAATAGCTAGTAAAATACTTGGTTGAATAGAGAGGTCTTTACCTGGCACCAGAAGGATAGCAGTGACTATCCTTAGGGAGAGTGTTCCCTAAATGAGGTGCAATCACATGCAAGGCCCTTCTCTTACCCATTTCCCCCCTCACTTTGTTGGGGGATGGTTCTCAAAGAAGGACCTCTGTTGAAGATCTTGGTGACAGGGAAAGGATATATGGAGAAAGGCATTTCTATATATTTCTGGGTTGCATCCATCATCTGCCCAAGTAGGACTCTGCTTGAATAACACAACTTTCTCTGGCACAAGAGGGTTTCTCAATCCTCCCCTCCCACATAGGGTCTGAATGTGGTAGGAAAAATTGATAGATGCCGTGAGACAATATCCCTTCCACTATGGGTTCTGCTGGCTGATGAACAATATAGATCTGACCCACTGGATTCAACCAATGTTTCTTCAGATACAACATACTTTTTTAAAACAAAAATTATAAATTAATCATTTCAGGGAACATTCTCCATTCTCCATGTAAGATAGGGGAAATTTTAAATAAAGATGTCCTCCTTTTTGTGTTCAGTGTCATATATATCTCTTGATGTAAATTCTTCCAAGCTTTCAAAACTTTTTGTTAATAATATAATTTTATCATAGTGATCTTTTGCTTTAAAGACATTGAAAACATTGCACACCTTCTCACTAGTTTTCTTATTAGAGTGTAATATAGATAAATGTGTTTCTAGCTGCAGTAATTACCTTAATTTCATAGGAACATAAGACCGCTATGTAATCAGCTATTGCTAATGTAATTACTCTGACAAAAATGGTTAACAAAGAGACAGTGTTAAGGTTACTCCTGCATCAGTACTGATTGCTGTAATTTAATAGTGAGTCACATTTGTCTCTGAAGTGGATAATATGGGATAGCAAAAATCCACATCATAATTAAGATTTATGAATAGCATTATTTTCAGATGTGCTCTCATGGTAGCTTTTAGCTTTTAAAGACTACTCTGCATCTCTTTGTCATTCTAATATAATATTACTATTATTTACATTACAGTGGTGTCTCTTAAAGTCAAGACATATGCAAGGATTGTAAAAATAATCAGGAGATTATATTTACCTTAGAGAGCTGATGGTTTATAAGCAGGCAAATATGTCCATTTCACAGGAAACAAACCTGCAGTTTAAAGAGTTTATTTGTTTAGAGTTGTGGTGGTCGACAATTTCAGCAGTATAGAAAATTCTCAAATATGTTTCTCCAGAACATATGTAGCTCATGAGTTTTGTCCCAAGTCTACTGAGATGAAAAACGAGAAGCAGCACAGAGGTGGAGAAGCAAGCAGTATATACTTGACTGTATAATATAGTTCTGCAGCTCCTTTAAAGAAGTGACACGAGTATTAGCTGCATTGTCACTTGTGGCACCTGCACTCCAGGTTAGCCTCTGTGAGCTCAAGAATTAAAATATAAGCTATCATAAACACAAAGCTGCCAGTGGCAACAGGTTTCATGCAATGTTCAATATATCTTGTATCCTGAAATCATTACAGCAAGCATTTCCCCACTGCTCACAATCAGCAGCCAGGGAAGTGTTGGGCAGGGAAACTCACTTTAATAATGGTACCACGGGAAAAGTTGGATTATGTGGTTATGGAGAGGAAGGTAACTCAACACTAGGCTGGCATTTTCAGTAGCAGTCCCATGTTGCTGATAGAGCTGGTGCTGCACTCACAGTGATGTGAATTGATAAGTATCAGAACAATAGTTTTACCTTCCATAAAGCAGTTCTTCCCTAAGATCAAATATGAGTCTTGCAAACATTTTAATAAGAACCCTTCTTGTTTCTTAGCTTGACTCATGAAATAAACAAGTTTTGAAAATGAGATTCCAGTTGTAGCTTTGCTAATAATTCAAAGTAGTGGCATTGTGGCATCTTGCCAAGATGAATACAAATTGATAAGACACCACTGGTGAAAGGTACACAGAGACAGAAAAAAGGAACAAAGTACAATCATACAAAGCAACAAAATATGAAGTTATCAAAGGGAATCTTTTTGCAAAAAACATTTAATGTTGCTGTTCCAGAATGTTGCTGAATTATCTCATTCTTCCCGATGATTTTCAATCTTATTAGCTATCTCAATTTTCCATATGAATCACGATTCTTGAGTATTCATTAAAAAAAAAACTAAGGTTTCAGCATCTCTTGTTATCTTGCTCAGTCATTTAAATGATGTCGAGAATTCTGCTCAGTCCAGGGAACAGGACTTCTGGCAACAAGATGTTCCACATATAAATAACTGTCCAACTACTTTATAACTCTGAGCCAGAAGCAATGTTAGGGGCAGCTCACATGTGCTAGAGCCCTGAATCTCCATCCACCCTGCTGTCCAAGGGCACTTGCTGAAATAAAGATATAAGTGCCCTGGTGATCTCCATTGCATCTAATCACACTGGGTGAGCTGTTATATTGGCCAAATGTGCTTCATCTTCTCCTGATCTCACCCTCCCCAAATTTGTTTGCCTGAGGTTATTTATTTATTTAAAGAAATCAAATGACCCCCTCTTCCTGGTCCATACAAATAAAGGTACCCTTAGGAAACAGTCCTTTAAAGACACTCTCCCTGCAACAGACTTATAGAACCCTTTTGGATTTGCTTTCTAGCCCCTGAAAATTGTGCATTAAAAAAACAAAACATGTTGGACTGTTGCAGGTTAGGTTTAGGGTTTTAAAAAATTAAGCGAATTTGAACACAGCACCATGCTGTCAATTGAACAGCACTGGAGAAAGGGCAGTGGTGGTGGGGAGTGTGCAAATTTATCCTCCCTTTGAAGCTGAAACTAATGAGGAAAATGACCAAAGAAAACTTCACATAAAATATAGAATTACATTTTTTAAATCCAAGAAATGAATGATGGACCTGCTAGTGTGCTGTTTCAGCATCAGTAGAACAGTTATTTGTAAGCCTGAAGAAGTGAGCTGTAGGGAGTTGTGCTGCTTTTACTGAAGTGTCTCTTGATAACCAATGATAACATTGCCATGCTGGGGTTTAATGACACAACGAGCCACCACAGACAAGATCATCCCTAAAATAAACCCTAAGTTCTTGGGTTGGGTTATTTGCAGAAAAAAAAGAAGGAAGAAAGGGCAGACAGAAGAAAAAAGAAAAAAACAGAACACCTGGCACAAACTGTGCTGGGTCTGGACATGACAACCCACCATTGCTATGTACCCATCGTGGGCTGTCATGTCATACAACCAGGTCACAGCAACAAAAGAAACTGACAAAATAGACCTAAACAGGGATATAATTTGGCATTTCTAAAATAACTGGTACATAATTTTCCAATTATAAATGGGTCATACTTGATATATACTGTTCTGCAAATGAAATAGTTTAGAACAAATTCCATTTACTTGAACTGGGATGACACTTGTAGTTTTAGAATCTGAGCAAAATGCTGAACATTAGTGATACGCATTTTATGCTCATCTTGGAGGCTACCTAAAACAGATTTTGGAGGTAATGGACATAGTGCGGTGTGAAGGGGGAAGGAGGAGTAGGGAACATTCTACTTGTGCAAGTAGTAGGATTGGAGGTACTCCTATGTTACAGATAAGTTCATTAGAGGAAGGTGAGCAAATAGCAGTGAACTATACTTCTGTATAATTATCTTATGTGTGCTGAACCAGTAGCTTTTTAATTATTCCTTGAAAATAGTGAAACTCCTTGGTTATATATTAACTAAGCATCCCATTTACTGCAAATGTTGCTATCCAAAAATGGAACTCATCTGGGTTATGACTCCAGTGCCATGATTTGAATCTTTACTCTTACATCTAGTGCATTTCTCTCTCTCTCTCTCTCTCTCTCTCTCTCTCTCTCTCTCTCTCTCTAGCACAAGAAAACAGTTAAAGGTGTACATTAGTTAAAATTTATCAGTTTTCTTTGTTATAGAACTAGCATATTAAATGGAAAACCGTTTTTTCTAATTCCTTTCTAATAATTAAACATTAAAATAAATAGAGACCAAACTACATTTTAGGAAGTTTATATCATCTCTAGTTAGGCAATTTTCTGAAGTCTGTGAAATGAATAAACATAATGGGACATTATGAATAACAATACTGGATTCAAACAAAATTATTTTACTGAAACATCTTTGGAATTCATTTGAAATTCTGGGCTTCTATTCGATGTTAAATTAAATCAAAACTATATCAGGAATAATGTAAATTTGGTTAACAAGTCAGTTACATCAACCATTTCAATTTAAGCAATCCACCTCTATGTTTAAGCTGTTATCCTATTTAGACCTGTAGTAACAAAAATTCTAGAAATGAAATTCAGAAATCCAAATGATCCAGTTTACATATTTTGATTGTGTTGTTCCTTTCAAACAATATAATTTTTAGATACAATAGTGTAAACTAGTATGAGATTTAAATAAAACTTAGGACAGACATGACATTAAGAAATAAAATTAATTTTTATAAGTGTTATCAAAGTCAAAGGCAGTTTCAAGCAAAATTTCAGCCCATTGTACATCTTTAACTAAAGCACATCAATCAACTTTCAGTCCTTTTGATTTAAATTCAGAGTGCAGAATTTGTGATAAGCATCTCCCAAATTCTTCTAAGATCATTCGTTCTGCTAGGAAAACAGAATAAGCTTCTTTTTCTGCCTCTTCAGCTTGAGCAAGCAGACAGGCACATGTTGCTTCAACCACTTCCCATGATATGCATGTACTAGATTGCCTATTGAAATAAAACACAGACACACAAAGGGGCAAAGGTAGGAAAGTAAATTTGGCACAAAAAAATAAATGACTGAATGTATTAAGCAATACTGCCTATCGTTGTTTTGCGGCAGATTTGTACCTGGGAACTTGGTTTCATTTCTAAAAAGTATTACAGATATATGACAGTTTATAGTGAAAAAGTAAGAATGGGGTGCTTAACCTTTCTATCATTAACGTCTTTCTCACTGAAACTTTTTCTTTCCATGTACTTTCCTCTGGCAGGAAGTTAGACAGATGAAGCAATGCAGGGGAGAGGCAGTTGGCAAATGCTTCTCTAGTACTCATTTGCTATCTTTTCAATACAAAGTATGGTCTCCTCAACTCTTTGGCATAGGTTTCCAAAATTGGACTAATTATAAATGTCTACTTTTTATCACTAGTAAATGAGTTGTTAAAAGTACCAAACCATGGAAGTCAGGTTTATATATAAATAGGTATGCTTCACAGGTATTTCCCTTATATAGCAAGCATTCCTCTTTTATCCCTGAAGTAATTGCTTATGTGAGGGGTGGGGGGGAATAGTGAGGCCTCACATAGCTCTACTGAAGGTTGTCTCTCCTTGATGATACCCAGGATACTGCAGGCCAGTGTCTACTGATATTGAACAGTGACTTCCAGTCAATGCAATTTTTGAAGACTTGTTGAGGGCTATTATTAGAATTCTAGCAGCAATGCCACTAGATTGCTTGTATATATACACCCATATTGCACTTCAGCTTAATTAATATGTTCTGTTGAAAATCTGAAAGCGTACTTTGCATCGTTAGTTTCAAAAGTAAATACACAATCTATATATTTTGCATATTTTAACCTCCATTTTTGCAGCAATGTGCAGCAAAAAACAATTAACAAGCTCTGACTGAAAAGCTATATAAGATGGAACATTTAAAAGTGAGTAAGAAGAGGCTGAAAGAAGCAAACATATAAACTCAGAAGGTTTATATAAGTGAGAGATGACATACACATTTAAAATTTAAATACTACTACATATTTAAAATTCTGATATTTCAAAACACATGTTATATAAAAAGATGAACTTTAATATTCACCTGTCTTTTCTGTTTCTTGATAATATTTCAAATTTAGAAAATGATAGTGAATCATTTCCTTCATTACTTTTACTCTCCATATGATTTGGCATATTCATTAGTGTTTTGCGATCTGGGCTTTCTTCATAATTTTTGCAGCCAACACATTTGCAGATAGACGAACACATAATTTTAGCCTAGAAAATATACAGTATTTTAATATAGAAAAAGCTTGATTTAATTAAATCCTGGTACACAATAAGACAAATTACACAAATGAGATCTGGTTCCCCTATAGGGCAACCCTATGTATGCTTTACTGGGAGTAGGTTTCACTAAATTTAGTGGTGTTTAGTCCTAAATATGGGTGCTTAAGATTGCAATCATAGCATTTTCTCAAACTACCATAATAAATTAAGAACAAATTTATGTACCAAAGCCACTATTATTTTTTCAAGGAATCTTCATAAAACAGACATGAAGTATTAATTTTACTCTCTTTAGCCTAGTTTCCTGAAATGTCTGTATACTGGCATGTATTTTTCTCTGACATGAACCGGATCGTTTCCCTGGATCATTTACATAGAACATTGCAAACACAAAGAAGGATGTTGGGTGTTTCTTCCACAGAAAATGAGGTAGGAGAAAACCAAGAGGGCTATTTTCCACTATTTCAGCACTTGTTGAAGCATAGCCCTGGTTTGCACAACACAATAACCCACCATGGGTTGTTTTCAGGATGGCTTGTCATGGTATCTGGTAGGGCAACTTCATCATGCCTTGTCAGGAATGGGTAGTGAGTTTCCTGGCAAGGCAGCAACACCGTCTGCTGCTCCTCATCCATGGTCTGTGCTCTTTGCCCTCCTAAAAATCACAAAGAAGGGACACTGGGTAGTGTCCTGAATGTGTTTGCAACCCTTTAAAATAGATATTTACTCTTGTGCCAGATGTGTGTGGATGCCAAATTCTATGCTATGGCAACCCCTCCATTTTACTGTCCCACCATGAAATATACATTTTTAATCAAATTGTATCATTCCTCTACCTTGAAATATGTGTATGTTTACTTGTAACCCATGCATATTTCTGACAATAATAGATTGGTGGAGGAAAACAACAAACGGGAAATGGGGTGGGGGAATCAGTTCACTTGGTATCTGCCTCGTCAGGATATTGTTATGCTTGTTCTAAATATTGGACAGTCTTGTGCAAGACGCCAACAACTGTGAAATCATTTCCTAATTCATATGGGCTCAGTAAATTAATTTTATTTATTGATCTGAGAGGGGAGGGGAAAATTAGTTCTGCTGCAAAGGCACCAGGGTTACATACCAAGAGCCAGTGGAAGGACAGAAAGGAGAAACAAGGTAACAAGCCACAGCAAGGTATCTTTTGGATTAACAAGTGAACAACCCATGCTAGTTTATTTTCAGGTGGCTCAGCATGAAGTGTGAACTCACCCATATCCCACTGGGAGATTCTGAGGGGGAGTTAAAATAATTTTGTGGGAGAGATATTTTAAAAAGAATAAGAATTATAATAGGACAGTGCTGGAAATGCAAAGAAGTGGAAGGGACTTCTATCATAAATGTTGTAAGTGTAATACGTTTTTGGCAAGAAATACATACAGAAATACAAAAAATTTTGAAAATTAACTTCCCAATGAAAAGTAAGAATATGCTGCTAAATATTCTACTGGAAACTCTTCTAAGAAATATGGAATAATTATTTAAATATATGATTAGAAAAACAAGCTAGTTGAATATGCAGTAATGGCAAAATTAACTAACTATGTAGAAGACTGGTCCAATATTTTAATGAAAAATGGGAAGCTTATTATGCATATTCTACTTAATAAGTGAAACGAAAAAGCAGAGTTCAGGTAGGCATCATTAAGCTGATACATCTTTCAATAAGTTATAAAAAAGAAAGCCAGTCAATGAACTAAGTTACAATTGGAAGGCTTATCAATTTTTATTTGTAATTGAGAGAAAAAAATGGAATCTTGGCTATCATTGTTTTCTGAAATAAAGAAGGAAGGAAAATGAAGAGAAGGGGAAATGGGTGGGAAGTGGAGGAGGAGACAAAGGGAGAGAGAAAAGAAAAAAATATATCTTTAATTCTAATTTGGTTAGGGTTTGAATATGCTCTGGGCTGAATCATAGTTTACTTGTTATCTATGTTAAAGCAATTTTCTGTGTGAAATTATTAGCTTTATTTGGCTACTTACTAATCTAATTATAATTGTGTATTATCATGTAAAATTGTAGTTATAACTGAAATAATGTGTATTGCTGATTCTTTGATGAATTTCTTGCATCCAGTTTTATAAACAATTTAGTGTGTGGTTCCTTGGTAGCATTCTCTTTTGTTTTTCTTTCTGTTCCTTATTATTTACAAAAAATGAAAAATTAAAATAATTTTGTGGGAGTCTTTGATTCATTTTTAGATAATTAAAATATTTTAATCTCACCCCTTTGCATAAGTTACTGGTAGCTAACACAAAAGTTAACATATAATAAAACAGCAGTATAACCAGAAATAAAAACAGCAACAGAGACAGACAAAGAAATAAGAAAAAAGCAATATAATAATCATATATTAAAAGTTCAGGAGAATAACACTGTGTTCACCAGGCACTGAAAAGCTAACTGTATTTGACAACCAGAGTGCCAGCATCAAAAGGACCTATTTCATTTCACCTGAAGGTGACTAGTATGTGGGTAAACAGTATGTGATGTATGCAGGAGGTAGCACAATAACTCTGGTAATGGAGGTAGCACATGGCTAGCAAGATTAGCAGCCACTGATAGCCTCTTCCTCCACAAAAGAGAATTTATCCATTCCCCTTTAAAAGCCATTCGGATTGGTGGCCATCCTCATATGGATAACATAGCATCATCCACACACAAGAGGAAAACTTGAGTAAACTTGTGGAGAACTTACAGATTTGCCTAAGTACCCTTTCACCAAACAAACAAACAAAATGAAAAACAAAACTAAAAACAAAACGAAAAGCTCAACAACCCTTTAGGAGAAAAGAAATAAATGGCGAAATCTACAACCACTACCATCACACAACCCAAGAAGACTGAGCATGCTCAGTGGGCTCAGTCCTCTGACTGGCTTTTGCAGGGGGGGAAATAATAGAATGGGATATCTTGGAAGCAAGTATGGCTTGCTGCAAGGCAAACTGAATGGATGTACTCCATACTATTATGTGGCTTTTTATACTATTCATGAAGAAATAATTCATTCAGCACTTATTAATTTGTGATACTGCACAGAACAACTGCTATGGCCATCTGAGTATGCAGAGCATGAAAACATTGTATGTTTGTTTAAAATTATTTTAGGCCACCTTTAACCCTCATAATAGTCCTTCTTAGAACTGCTAGCTTGGCTCACAGACTGTTTTTCATTACGTCACAGTCTACAAAAGAAGTAAATTTGCCTTACTATATTTATCCCTATATGCTGCTCCTTAAGATATTTCACCTATACTAGTGGATTAATATTAATGTACTGACACCAATTAAACACCAGTGCTCATACACTAAATTCCAACATTCTGTTAGTGTTTTTTCACTCACCAATCTCTCAGCTACTTTTGAGCCCTGAGTTTCATCTGTGGAGCACTCCTGTGAGACTGTTCCTTCAGATGAGGACTTTCAGTGCCTGTTTTTAGGTGGACTGCCCCAAATTTACAGTTCTACAAATTTGAACAGGAAAATGTCACTCAACAAACCTCAAAGCATTCACAGTAATTCTTTAGGCATCCTGAACGCTTACAATTACATCCTTTATTATGCCTGGGTTTGATATCGCCGAGTTTCCCCTTTCCAATCTTTGGCAGGAAAGCTTCTGGATTTCTGTCAAGACAGGCCTGGAACAACATATTTTATTTCTATAAAAGAACTCTCATTCAAATTGAAGAAAAAGTACAGCTCACTTTATTCTTAAGATATTTTATGCTTAACTGATTTTTTACAGAATGCAATGAGAAAGAATGCTGTTACTTATATGATCCACCTGTTATGTGAAGGAAAAGACTCACAACAGTGGGGCTGGTATAACTGTGAGATATATTAATCTGAAATTCTAGCCATATATATATGCAACAAGTCAACAGTCCTTGGTCTGGACCATTAATCTTAAAATAATGACAGAAGACACTATGTTCTTTGACCCTATTTCTGTCACTTTTTGCTTTTGCTACCTGCCTGTCCTTGGGAATTGTGAGTGTTTCATCCATCTAGGCATTTCCTTCCTTTTTTCTACAGGAATTTCTTCTGATATTCTTCCCTAATAGTGCCCCTGGTTTCAGTCCACAGTTCTTATTTAACACAACAGAAAACTTGCTGAATGGGGTCAATAATAGCTGAAATATATGGTTGTTTTTGTATTTTCCTATGTATTCTTTTTTATCTGCTCAAGCAACATTTATTTCAAATGCTTAATTGATTTAAGTATGGTTTTGAGGTTTCTTTCACTTATTCTATAAGGTATTCATTACTGAGAGGCTTTTTCCTCTCAAAGAAAATAGGGACTGTTTAACTATAGCACTCATTCTTCAATTTCTTTACTTCACCTAGTAAAACTGGTTTGCAAAAAGCTGATCACCAGTGACCAAACAGAAATGATTTTCTAAACAGCAATTGTCTGGATTCTTTACTCCTGTTAGTAACTTCTGCAGACTATTAACTCTGGCTCAATATAGAACTGTTTCAAAATATTCTGTCTTATGAAATAAGTGAATACAGTCAAGGAATCATCATTATTATTTGGGCTAAAAGGTATAGAAATAGTTGGCACTACTCCATGTGTTCTTTTAAAATAACAGAATGACTTAACAAATCTAATGAATAAGCACTATAGTTTACATATAGGAAGTAGAAAACGGAGCATAACTATATTACCTTAATTGCCTTAAACCGTTCTATTTCATGTTGTGGATTATTATAACAATTATTGCAGTTGCAGTTACTGCAGAAATCACCATTGGCAAAACAATCGCAGTATCTGTGTTTAATAAAAGCAGTATTTGAAATGTATTTTATATAGTTCATCATTTCCAGGTTTCTTCATTTTTATGTACTAGGTTGAGAAGCACAAATTATGGGTCATGTAAACTGTAAGACTATGATTTCATTTATGTATTTTAAAATGAGTGCATTCACATTATCGCGTTAATCCACCTAGGCAATAAGTCACAGTGGGTTGGTTATTGTGTGAGCAACCCATAGAAAATGAACAGGTGATTGAGCTCACTGGGACCTGGGAAGGAATTCAGCTAGTGCAGAATTCTCATTCCAATCCATGGCCATCGTGTATCTCCAGAAGTTGTGGGGTAGAAGATTGTCCATAAAACACACTGATATCTTGGGAAGCTCCTCTCCCACATCAGTAACCATACTGAGAATGGATCTTGCCATTATTTCCCAGAATTTGTATGTCTTATTTAATGCAGAAGTAGTTACACAATTTTCCTGTTTTATTTTAACATTTTTGTGAGCCTTAAACTGAACATTCTTGCTACAGAAAGGAAAGAGATGGGAAGAGAGAAAGGAAGGAGTGGTAGAAATTAATGAATGTCAAATAAGTAGAGTGTCATATAATTTTCTTATACTTGACACCTAAAAGCAATATGCATGAGTATTTTCACTATCACAATGTTGTAAGGACGCTAGGAAAAGTAATGGTTCAGAGTTCATTCTCTTCACATATGTAGTGAGAATATGTACTCCCAGTGATGCATTTTCTCATGGTACCTTTTTGTGATGTGTTATATTTTACCACATTACTGCAAAAGTATTGTTCAGATATACTGTGAAATGTTGTACAGTGGTACCTTGGCTCATGAACGTCTTGGGTCACAAACAAAAATTTCATGAAAATTTTGACTTGGGTCACGAACTCTGCTTTGGGTGGCAACCAAGATCGCAGCCATCTCCCCACCCCATCCCCAAGTGGGGAGATGGCCATGATCGCAGTCGCGTTCATGCAGGGAACACATGCGTGATCACAGCTGTGCTGTGCTGTGCCCATCTTTCCTGCAGGAGCGCACCTGTGATCATACATGTCTTCCCTGCACGAATGCAACTGTGATCCTGGCCATCTCCCCACTTGGGGGGATGGGGAGATGGCCGTGATCGTGCTGGTTGGTGGGGGGGAGGAGATGGCCAAGATTGCACCCATCTTTTCTGCAGGAGCACACCCATGAGAAGCACCACCCCAACATAAATGTAATGAACAAAGTGTTGAATCTGATGAACAATAACATAGTCTCTCATTTCCAGAGGGTTATGCAGCACAGGAAAAAAAAAAGTGACTATAGACAGATTTTTCACCAAAATTGACCCTGCAGGTAAGAGACAAAGAGAGGAAACCCCTGAAAGAGATCTCCCCAATGTCCTTATGGAGAGGGACTCTCCCTCAAAACAATAATCTCCCCACCACCTAGGTTAGTGTTCTCCACTGTACTGTACTGTACTGTACTTGGTTACTTTGTTGTTCTTTGTCACTTTGTTTCAATTTTTTGATTTAAAAAAATAGTTACAGAACGGATTAACCTTATTTACATTGAACCTTATGGGGAAATTTGACTTGGCTCAAGACCAAAAACTGGCTCACAACCACATTTGGAGGGGCCAGAATGGATTAACCTTATTTACATTGAATCTTATGGGGAAATTTGACTTGCGTCACAACCAATTTGGGTCACAACCAGAGTCGTGGAATGGATTAAGTTTGTGAGCCAAGGTACCACTGTATATGCAAAAAAATACAGCTTCAGATGTGGCAAATGTACACCCAAAGCTGTTTAAGTCTGTCAAATGGCTTCAAGTCTAGAACATCTGGAATAATATAGCAGGAATAAATTAATTACTTCTGAAGTTTCTTCAACACTGAATGGATATTTCAGTGACATTCCATTTACTTACAATTTGAGGCACTGTGATTTTGTGCAGTTGCATGGCTTTTTTGACTTTGCATCCCAGGAACTACAAGGAATCCTAAATGATAGCAAATGAAAAACAAACCACATATTTTGATGATATATCTGAAAAAATACTGAATATTTATGGGATACCACCCCACATATTAGTTGGGTAGTGAAAAAAAAGTCCTGTGGCCTCAGAGTTCGGACTCTGAACATGAGGACCCTGCCTTGCCCCCTTTGCAGCTGACATGAAAAAAACCATGCTAGCTTCCTTGCTGAGATCAGAAATTAGCCTTGGAGAGGAGAAAAAGAAGTGAGGCGGGGAGGGGAAGAAGCTGGTGGCTTACACAATATCCGAACAGTACCTTAGCCTCTTTCCTTTCCCCTTCACAGCACTTCATCTAGATGGTCAAAAATGGTCATCTTGCAGTAAGCAAGATGTGATGGCAATTGAAAAATGCTGCTCCTGCACTTCACACCATATAGTAAATGCATGTAAGCCCTTGGGTTCAGGGACTTCCATGCCGCTGGAAAAAAAGCACTGGAGTGTGGCCTAAATTAACTTACCTTAGGATCCAAGACAATGTATTTATTTCCTATTTCTATTCTCATTGGTCAATGTTAAATTTAACCAAGGATCTCAAAATGTGGCCTCTTTTTCACATTACTGAAATAATGTGGAAACATAAAGTAGGTTATAATTGTAGCAAAAAGGGTTTTTTTTGTTGAACCCCATTGTAAAAATAACAGGTTTGGAATGAACTTCTCAATCTTGTCAATATAATTATACATTTACATGTCATGGACTAAAGTTAGACACACACACACACACACACACACACACACAACATTTCCCTTACCCAAGTAAAGTCATTTTTGTTTGTTCTTGAAGATTGGCATCTGGATGGCATGTATGCATAGAACCCTTATCAAGCTGATCAAAGTAAAAATCAGAATTGCCATTTGTATTAGATGGTCATTATTATACAATGTTCACAGATTAAAAACAAGATAATTGTCAGAAAATCACAGAATCATATTCCTATGGTCCCAGGGATCCTAGGTAAGTGTAGAGACAAAGCTACAATGTCAGATAGTGGAGAATCCTCATGTGGCTCTCTCTCACTTCCATTCTTCTCCCCACAGAAAACTCCATGGCAACTCCTGAGGTTGGTGCTAAGACCTCAGAAATGGATGGAGAGGAAAGAAAAATGACATGTTGATGGGTGGAGTGGGAAGAAAGGACCATGCATCTGCCAGATTCACAAGTCTCTTTTCTATCCCCCACTTCTACAAGGTAACTAGATGGACTCAGAGGCCCACTTAGTAGCAAAAATGCTAACAGGAGAAGCAGGGGCAGGCAGAGAGGCTATAAAAGCCTCATTGCTCCTCCTGCTCTACCTGGCTCTTCCCATCAGGACTTAAGATAGATGAGGGTTCTAAGATTGGAACTTTCCATCTGTTGAGAATTAATCCTGTAAAAATCAGAAATCGTGCTCTAAATTTCTGTTGTCTCAACTTCATTGTAAGCAAGTTTATACATCAAACCACTTTTCATCTAATGCTTCATTACATAAGATATCCATGACTAAGATATTTGGTTTCATTGCATATTTTGTACACGTGTTGTTGCTCAAAATAAATTTTAATCAGCTGCCATCTGGTAATTGTTCAGTTCAGGGTTCTAAAAACCTTAGTGACTTATGTTACATTTTCCCTCAAAATTTTATTAAAATTGGGAAACAGTGTTGTTCCAAGGACAGGTTTATGTTGGTAAGAAATTAAGATCAGCAATTTTGGCCGCTACCCTTGCTTTCAGAGTCAAAGGATAAAGCGCAGGCAGTTTTGGCTTCACAAAGTCGCAAGCATAAAAATGCTCAAGTTAACAAATTGCCCTTAAATAGTCTCAAAAGTAAGAGGTCTCCCTGGCAAATTGGGGAAAGCTTGAGAAAAGTTTTCAATGAATTTACAATGAACACATTAGTTTATTTAACCTTAGCAGTGGTTTAAAGAGTGATATATTTATAATTTAGCACAAGACCTGCCATACTACCTGCCCCTGTATTTTAGGATATCATATATTCAATTCTCTCTTTCATAGGATTTTGTTTTGCTGCAGAAATATTGTGAAGTCAATAAGGATTGTCAAGCAACATTAATTATTTCTCTCAATGGTGACTTCTGTGCTACATAAAGTGCCACTGAAGGAAAAACCTGGTGAAAAGGGAAGCTGCTTATTCAGTAGCACCATGAAACTTCTAATAATACACAAACAAGGTGTGTAGAATCTATACAGAAATGCCTCTGAGATGACTGCATGGAAAAATGCATAGGGCATCTTACATATCCCTTGGCAGAAAGGAATGGAAAAATGAGCATATGGTATAAAAATGCTGAATTGGAAATATTTGCCTGAACAAAGTGGAAAAAGAAACACACTTACCTCTTGTGCACAGACATTCAGTTTACCCTCAAGTGGCAAAAATTGTCCCAGTATAGATGTTACAGAGTTATTTGCCTCTAATAAGAAAATACTTATTGAATTGAGGTCAATGAAGTGCATAGATTTAAACAATATCATAACTTGATAAATAAGACAAATTTCAGAGGAACTAAGTACATCATTAATAATCTCTTTGATTATTATTATGATTTAAAATATTTCTTGACTTTCAGGGCAAAAGTTCTCCCCAGGTAAAATACAATCATAAAATGTTTTCATTTTCTACATTAATAGACATAGAATTGTATGCATCCAGATTTAGACATGTGCAATTATGTTGGCAGAAGCAGAATTCCCTGCCCCTTTGTCTCCACGACAGCCACTGCAGCCCCATGAAAGTATTATGCAGAGGATCAACTGACTCTGTTGAACAACGTGAGCTGTAGTTTGGTGGACAATCCAAAAAATCAAGCAAAGGTGCTTTGTGTAAATTTCCTTTTGTCCATGGAAGGCAGATCCTAGATATAATCCAGTAAATTTGAAAATTTTCCTTATATTATATACTTAAACCAAAATGTAACTATTTATCATACATTAAGCACAAGAAGTAAGGATCCTAAGAAAGAAAAACACTAACATCCTCAAGGACATGAGGGCAATGATTCAGTGGTTAAGCACCTATTTTGCAAACAAAATGTCACAAGTTCTATTCCTGGCATTTCCAGCTTGAGATCTTAGAAAGACTCTTGCCTGAAATCTAGTGGAGACAATGTTAGTCAGTGTAGACAAAACGAAACTCAATGGTTCAATATGTGAATTGGCAGTTTCCTGTTCCCACAGAACTATTAGAAGCTTTTTCATCAAATCACAGAACTGTAGTTCGAAGGTGCCAGTAAGGCCATCAGGTCCAAACCCCTGCTCTATGCAAGACTCCTAACTAAAGCATTCCTAACAGATGGCTGTCTAGTTGCTTCCTGGATGACTCCAGTGTGGGAGAGCCCACAACCTGTGTGGGTAATTGGTTCCTCTGCCATATTGCTCTAACTATCAAGATATTTCTCCTCTTGCTCCTATAACTTGAGCCCATTATTCCATGCCCTGCACTTTGGGATGATTGAGAAGAGATCCTGGCCCTCCTCTATGTGACAACATTTCAAATACTTCAAGAATGCTGCCCTCACTCTTCTCTTCTCAAGACTAAACATACATCTGTTCTTTCAGTCTCTCCTCGCAAGATTTTTGTTTTCAGTCCCCTGCTCTTAACAGTTGCCCTTCTTTGAAATCTTTTCTTTCTTTCTTTTTTTAACTTTTCAAACAATCCACTTGCGAAAAAAATGTAAATTTGCACACATAGTTCTTTCCAGCTATCCTTGCACATATTTTTACATGTCTCCTTACCATATGCACCTTCAAATTCACAAATTGTAGGCTTTCTTATTTTTTAAAAAGGATTGCGCCAAAATAAGAGGTTCATGGTTGAAAATTATGTCCCTCAAGTGAGGTAGTGAAATGAATTGCCTAGAATAATGAGGGCTAGGTTTAGTTTCTTCTTTCAAAAATCTAACAGATAAAATTAAACAGTTTCTAGGAGCATGGGTAGAATGGCCACCATCAAAAGAAAAAGGTTAAAAGGGGGGAAAAACCTTCCAATGATGATGAATGCATGGTGGGATAATGGCCAGAAAGATTTCTACTTAGATTAATAATAAAAAAGGGATTTTTTTGAGGGGGGGAATAAAAGGTTTATAGCTCATGTGACCTGATGTAGACTTTTGTGTGACAATCACAAGCAGATTACATAAAAACTGGTCTGGAGGATGCATTCAGCCACTATCCTTCCCCAATATGTTCATGACTGCACAGTTAAACAGATTTAGACTGCAATTTTGTACCCACTTGAATTATAAATAGACATGTACATGTTTGTGCTGTTAATCTTGAAATCAACTTTTTCAGATGCAGTTGCAGGTAGGGAATGTTTCGGGGTATTTTCAACATGTACACATACTTAGAACATGTCAGGACAAACACATTTTCTAAAAAGAAATCTAGGAATAGTTCCTTCCTCTGACTTGCTACTCATTCAAACAGAGAGTGTTTGCTATATAAGAGGGGTGAGCATTTTATGACGCTCCAGGTATTTTGGGCTGCAATTTTCATTGTCCCTTACCATTGGTTGATAGGTCAAAATATCAGGAGGGCCACAAGTTGTCCACTCCTGCTATATAACATACACAGCAAGAGGAAAAACATATTATGAAAAATGCATATCGAAAGTCTGTCATTTTCCTACAACATTAAAAATCTTGCTCGCTAATTATACCATTGGATTACCAGTAGCATTTATAGTTGATAAAACAGTGGCATCAGGTGGATCGTTTTGGTAAATGCAGCTACATGCTTTATTTTCCATGGCTTCTTCAGAGGTCTTTTTAATGGAGGCTTTTAACCTACCACTTTACCAAAGTTTCTGGATTCTTTGTGGAATTAAGGGCTTTTCTACACAATTGTTGTAGCTACTTTCAGTTCTATTGCAGCATGAAGGTTCTGCACAAAAGCTCACTCTTTCCTGCTTTTCTGCTACATAACCTCTAGGTAGAGCTATGCTACAGTGGTATAAGTAAAGTACACACGGAGAAAGAGTAGTATGTGTCTTATTCTAATACTCTATTTTCCCCATTCTAAAAAACAAACAAAACAAAATAAGAAAGTGCTTTGAAAATAACAGAAGTAAAACTGGAAGATAGCAACATCTAAATTGCCCATAAACAACTATGAGTAAGGAATCATGAGCACACAATAAATGCCTCATGTTGGAAAGTTCTAAGATCTGTTCCTTTACATGTGGTTTTTTCCAGAGGCTTTCTTTTTCTGCCTTTATATTACATAATTATTGGTGCTATGGTACAGCAGAATTGTACAAATGCAAAAGGGTTTCATGTTGCCAACTGCAGAAATATCGGACTCGAAGGTGGAGGAGGGGAAGAAGGAGGAGGGGGAGGAAGAAGAGGAAGAGGATGATGAGACAAAGGTGCTAACAACAATGATTAGAATGGTTGCAAAGCATGAGAGAGGTTCTGGAGGACGATGACATTGTATAAACCACCCATAAACTACTGTGAGTGAGGAATCAGGAGCATGGTGTGCTACAGAAAGGGTGCTCAGGAGTGACTGTCAACCATCTGAGTCACCTCTATATTCCAGAAGTTGACCAGGGATTTGACCTCCAGCTATACCAGCCAAAATCCTCCCAGAAACCTCTGGAAACTATCCAAATCCATCATTCTTAAGGGGTGGACCATTTTAATAGGTCCTCCAGCCCTGCAGAGGGGAAAAACTGTGGTTAATCTAAATCTTAGCAGTTAATAATCTGAGCAAGTCAAGAGAATGATGTCAAAGTCCCATACCTTTGAATCACTATCCCCAAGCCGAAAAAAAAAAAAAAATCCAGAACATGTTTAGCTACATATTTGGGCTGATGATGTGTTGGGGTTGTCATGGAACCCATGGCATTCTGAGCTGCCCCAGATAGGGTCCCTTAGGCATGGACATTAACACCCCCCAGGACCAACAATCTGGAGGACAGCAATATTGCACCCAAAATAGCCTCTGTCAGCTCAGGGCTGATGGTACACCAATGGAATCTCCCTTTATATATTGCATTATACATATTCATATACTAAGAAACTGGATATGGAGAATATTGCCTCTATATCTACAATAGGGTAAGGAACTATTAATATAGGGTGGGGTTACATTTGGATGAATTTCATATCTATAACTGAATTGGGCTAATGCAGACATATTTGGGAAATGTCCGAATCAAATAAGAACACTTGGGAATATTTGGAATTTGCAAGGACATAGAGATGCAGAACATATGTCTCAAAACACTGATACATTTCTCCTTGAACATTCAATGTAACTGTGGGGAGAAGGGATAGAGGGAAAGAAGAGGATGCAGTTTTGTGACTGGCAGGTCTAGCTTATAATCACAGTGAATGGTTTTACCAGGATTCTCTAAACTCAGTGCTTTTGGAGGAGGGGTAGGAAAGTTGAAGCAAGATAAGGAATGATCAAGTGTTTAGTGTGATTTGCTAGTTCTCTGACCCAAGTGGGAATATTTAAAGACATCTGGCAGAATCTGTGGGGCCTGGGAGGACATACCATTAAACATTGCTTTTTTACTTCTACTATATCTACATCCAGAGCAGGGGTTCACAACCTGAGGTGCCTGCACACCCAGGGGATGTAAGATGGCATTTCAGGGGATGAAAAAAAGAGAGAAAGATGGCATTGTGGTTCGCCAAAATTGGAGAATTGCGATTTTTTTAAAAAAATTATCCCAATAATAAAATTGTTTATAATTTTGTTTGTGTTTGGATTCAGTTCTCTTTGGTCAATCAAATCAAATCTAGGAATCCCTTGAATTCACAGACAGATTTGTGGATCCCAATCAGCAAGAAAGTTCCACATTTTGATAAAATTGTGAATGAGAAGCAGGAACAAAGAAGTCATTGAATTTTATGTTCACAATTGGGATTGATTTTACTGTTTACGTTTTCCCCCAATTGCTCAATTATAGTTGAATGTCATGCACTGATTTAAAAGCTTTTCTTCAATTTGTTCAGCCACTGCACTGTATGTGATTCAATTTGTGGTTCAAATATTAGAAATTTGACTTTTTCATCTTCAAATGTGATATTACTTTTGTAGGTGGTGCAAACACAAGTCAAACATTTTCTAGGGCTGCAGGGTATAGAAAAGGTTGGAAATCAATGATCTAGACACAGTTTTTTGTCCTTCTGTCTTTTCCCTGATCTCTCACTCTTTTCTGTCAATTTTGCTTTTAATATTACTGCCCATGTCTCACTGCCAGTCTTTCTACTTCCTACTTAAGAATATAATCATAGCATTGTAGGAGAAATCAACTTAGGTGAGGTCATAATGAAGCTATGGATCCCAATCCACTTGAAAACCAATGTTCTAGATCAAGAGTGAGCAATTTCCAAGAGTGGAATGCACTCCCCAGAGAGGTCCGCCTGCCACCATCATTATATGTTTTTCAGCGCCAGGTCAAGACCTTTTTAATCAATATTTTAATATGTTTTAATATTGAATGTTATTGTTGTATTTTATTAATTTGCAGCCAGTGTGGATGGTCAATTTATTTATGTTGTAAGCCGTCCAGAGACACAAGTAATTGGATGGCATACAAATTTTATAAATAATAAATAAATAAATAAATAAATAAACTTAGGGTAATCTATTGCCTAATATCGAATACTTACTCACCCTTCACTGGTAAGCTACTATATTCCCAAAAGGGCCATACTTAGCTGTAAGAATTTGGCACTGCATTTTAGTGGTAAACCACTAATATATTTTCCTCCACCACGGCTTAGGTTTAGTGGTGCAGCGGTGGCAGCAGGGTGGCAGGGGCTGCACTTAAGGCTATGCAGGGAACAAATATGACCCATAGAATATTGTCCACCTCTGCTCAGATTCTATCAATATTACATCTATATCAAGCTAAGTTTTGTAACTTGAACAGATTGCACCATGATTTGAAATATGTAAATCTATCTTTCAACTGCACAGGAAAGCTATGAAAGTAGCTACAAAATAGATAGTTGGAATATTATTATTATTTATCATCATTTCCATACTGTCCATAGCAAAAGCTCTCTGGGCTGTTTACAGGAATAATGGAATATCTGAAATATTTCTCTATTTTCTAACATCTTCATACCTGGCTGAAAATACTTAAGCTGCTCTTGATGCTGGGGGACCAAATGAACTGCTTTCAATTCTCTAGTGTCTGTATTGTTTATACAGAGTATATGAGTACCACCCTTCAGCTGACAGATTATCTGGAATACAGAACCAATCATTAATTTGCAGTAGTTTTCATTTTGAGAAAATGAAAATGAAAACCTGTCCCATCTCTGCCCACAAGCTGTTTTCCCTTGCTTTCCCCCCAGGGATTTAAAGTTGTCGTCTGCAATCTCTATTTTCAAAGTTAGAAGCAGTACCTCCAAGGTGCCCCAAGAGCATCCTGGAGAGGGCTGTCTGTGGCTTTCTATCCTTTGAAAAAAAAACCTTTTTTTGTACACAAGTATATACTCAATAAAATAGATTTGTTAATCTTTGTATACTTTTTACATAATTGTGTACATAATTTTTCTTAATTTTTAGCACAACTGCACAACTGTAATTGATTGCAGTTGCTCAACTGTCAACAGAAATTGACCCAGGCAAGGCACCAAATCCCTTTTGGTTTCTTTTGTCAGCTAACAGAAGGTGAGCTGTCAAGAGAAAGCCAAGGCATGTTAAATTTAATTTTATTTATGCAGAACACAGCAACCAAAATGCACACTAAAAAGTTCAAAATTAAAACATTACAATTTTTGAAGAAAAATTTAAACGATCAATAGTACTACCCGGTTCTATATTATATGTTGCTATGTAACAGAGCATACTATCATTATTATATTTATTTCTATTTATTCAATTTAGAGGCTCTCTGGGTGGCTTAGAACATATTAAAATGCAACAATATCAAACAGTACAAACACAATATAACATTTACTACAAAACCCAGTAATAATAACAATAAAATCAGTAAATAAATTAATAGGATTAAAACCAAAATAGAAAGTTATTATGCAAAGATTGCAACAATGGCACCCCAAATAGTCATATATTTATCTTTCAATTATGCCTAAGGCCACCTATTCAAAAACTGCAAATTTAATTAAATCCTCCACCCACTCTATTATTAGATGAGGCTGTTTATTTGTCTTTTAGTTTTCAAAAGGGCACATAAAATCCTTGTTTTAAATTCCAAGAGATGGGTAGATAATTCAAAAGAATATTATTATTGCATTGCATGTATAGCCTGCCTTTTTCCTCTCTTGCAAGGAATCCAAGTTGTCTTACATAGCTCTTCACTTCATTTTTATCTTCACAGTAACAACCCTGAGTGGTAGGTGAGTCCATGACTAGCCCCAGACCACCCAGTAGGCTTGATAGCTGAGTGGGGACTTGAACCTGAATTACCCAGTCCCCAGTCTAATATTCCAACCACCACACCACACTGGCTCTCAAAAGACCATGTGTATCCTTAATATATTAAAGAACTTTCCACCACAAGATTTATCTGAGTAATTGCCTCCTTCTAAAAAACAGCTGCCATTGGTTATTGCAAAAACCAATGAAGAGAAGGATTAGTAGCATTGCACCTCAAACAACTGGCCAATTTAATTCGTTACAAAAGAGTCTTCATGGCATTGGAGTATCTTTTGCTGAGAAGGAATTGTTTTGGTGATTTATACCTCCTTCACAGCAATACCCTCATCTCCCCCACTACAGTTTCTACATGGGTACACATATTGCACCTTATCCCAAACTATTAGGAGCTTGGGAAAATGCAAAGGTGCACCCCCTTTTTTCAACGTAAAGGGAACCTAACAGCTTTGATCTGTTATCTGGGTGTCTTTATACGTATTTATGAACTCATCTGTTTTATATTTGTTTTTGAAGTATTAGCAAACAGTGTGGTTGTTATTTTAAAATGTTAAAAAACACCATAAAAAATTCTGGGTCTCTTTGGAAAGGCAGCTTTGAGCGAGCATTGGGTGGTTTCGTATTGGGGCATATAGCTGTATATGTCCCAGTTCAAAATCCTCAATCCCCCAAGTAAAAGGAGGGAGGTTCTCTTTGGCATTTAGTCCTTTTACAAAATGTGTATCCCAATGAGAATTAAAATGGAGGTTAAAGAAAAGATGATCCTGAGGAAAATCGATCCATTTTTATAAGTCAAAAAACCCTCAACCTTTTCACAACAAAAGATGATAGCGGCCAAAACCACCATCCACTACTGCAAGTGACTTCTGGGGACAAAACAGTTGTCCAGCTGTTCTATAAACAGATAAATGTAGTGGGTACTCTTATTACAGCTTATGTCTTATCACCTATGGAAAGTTACTCTGCTAAGGCACCTTTCTTTCACTGTAATAAAACAATAAAAGACAATAGTTACCACTTGAGGATTGGAATAATTTCTGTGTGAGCAGGTGGGTTGTTCCACTGCATTTTGTGAAACTGCCAGGTTGTGGCTGGTTTCTCCATCTGAATTTTGAAAAACTGCTTCTTCTGCGCTATTAGTTGTAATGCTAACAACTGCTTCTCTGACCTCAGCCTAAAAGGGAAGCAATTTTATATTTTAAAAGGTTCAAAAGTTTTCTTTATCTCAAAAAAATGTGCTCCATAAAGAGCTAGTAAAACCACTTAAATGACACTTTGGATAAGAAACATAATCCAACTTATATGTAGAATGGACAGTTCAAAGTGTCATTTATAGCTATGTTTTAAATAAGACCAAAAAACAATCTTAAATAATTACATTCCCACACTGCTTTGAGGCATTTAAACAATAATGCTAATAAATTACAGAAAACATATCATAATATCAGGAGTTCTATATCCATTTCCTAGAAATGGTACTTATTTGCAAGAATGTAGGAAGAGCCCTACTTAGTACTCAGTACTTCAGCATTCCTGGGCTCCAGGATCACCGCAGTCATGACTGCAGCCAAAAAATTAAAAGACGCTTGCTTCTTGGGAGGAAACCTATGGCAAATCTAGACAGCATACTAAAAAGGAGAGACATCACCCTGCCAACAAAAGTGTGTATAATCAAGGCTATGGTTTTCCCAGTTGCAATGTATGGCTGTGAAAGTTGGACCATAAGGAAGGCTGAGCGCCAAAGAATTGAGGCCTTTGAATTGCAGTGCTGGAAGAGACTCCTGCAAGTCCCTTGGACTACAAGGCATTCAAACTGGTCAGTCCTAGAGGAGATCAGCCCTGACTGCTCTTTAGAAGGCCAGATACTGAAGATGAAACTCAAATACTTTGGCCACCTAATGAGAAGGAAGGACTCCCTGGAGAAGAGCCTAATGCTGGGAACAATAGATGGCAAAAGAAGAAAGGGACAGCAGAGGATGAGGTGGCTAGGTGGAGTCACTGAAGCAGTTGGCGTGAGCTTAAGTGGACTCCAGGGGATGGTGGAGGATAGGAGAGTCTGGAGGAATGTTGTCCATGGGGTTGCGATGGGTCAGGCATGACTTCACAAATAATATAACATATAACATCAGCATTCTGTTTCCCACATTAGCCAGCCAGAAAGCACCAACTTGTTACCAGGCAGCTCATCCATATCCCCATTCTCATTAGCACACTGTATCCAGTTATTTTCATTTTGCCCAGTAAGCTGAATGAAGGCTTGAGGAACCAGTATAAGACAAAGCTTGAGGCCAGCATATATCAGAGATCCTTGATTCACAGTGTGTGATAGGCATAGTCTGTTACATTAGGGTGAACATGAAACACACACACACACACACACACACACAACACACACCATTTTGAATTAACAATCCAGAGACCTGGTGGGGGAAAACACTATGTCCCCTCCAAAAAAAGGCACTGCCACCACTGGTAAACAAATTAATATTCATTACTATTTTAAAGGCTGAAGAGCTGAATCCAAAATTTGCATATGGACTCCCTCAACCCTTGCTACTCTGCACTCATAGCCTGTAGCAAGACTCCAATACCCTAGAAATCCATTCACGTTCCTTTTGTTCTATGTATTTCCTTAGATAAATGAATAAATAAAATATAGTATCTTTCAAATAGGTGCTGTTCCCAAGTAAAAGCTGCTTATTTATATTATTTCTATGTATATGTACTAAAATGCAAAGTCAACTGTATACTTACAGATTCATCACATACCGAAGCACTATCCTGAGGTAAAGTGCTGATACCATTGCAAGGTTCTATTATACAAAACAGAATTAAAGAAAAATTATGTGGACAGGATTAGGTATTAATAGTTCTTTCAACACTGAATATAATTGACTGCATCCAGAAAGCATTGGAAGTGGAACTGTCCTGGCCTCAATTGAAGCCCAAATCCTCTTACATAAATCTGAGTTCTCCTTTAAAAGGAGCTTCAGTGGAGTAATTATTTTTTAGTAAAAACTCCTCTGATCTTTACAAGTTCTAATTTTTTTAAAAAATGAACATATAAATTCAGAGCAAAATGTGATATTTGAAAATGAAAGATAAAAGAAAAAGAACACCATTACCTATTGAATGCATACAGTGGTTAACTTTTAGTGAAATAGGGCTCATAGATTATGTATTCTGAGTTCTAGTTGCATGGAACAACAGGGCATTAGATCAGGATGTCTGGATCAAATTACAAAGACAACCACTTCAAAGGGAAGCTGAAGAACACCAAGGAGAAACAGATGAGTATCTCAGCAGAACTGCTGCATGCACAGAAGCTTGCTAGGTCATAGAATGTTACTGTTATTTAAAGGATTTTATAACAACTAGGATTGGTAAATGGTAAACATTACTATTATAAACAATTCCTCTTATTAAAAACTAGAGAGCCTGATCTATTATATACTTCTGAGGCAGTGTTTTATGGGATCTAGTGTAAGCTTCTAATACTGGTATTGATAATTCTCATGGAAAATGAACAAACCAGACTTTCCAAGGACAGGATCATGCCTTAATGGCCTTAGTTGCATATAACTTTGGATCTATGGATGGATGGAATATCACAGTTGTGTGTCCAGAGGATTAAGAAAGATCTGGGAGTAAACCTTAATTGTAAGTGGAGTGGTTATCTGTACATACTAATTCTGTATCTGTGCAGAGCAAATTGGAACTTTCTGGAGCTAGGCTGTGAAATATTTTGATGGGTGCATGCTTAAAAGGCATTCAAACATATTGCTAGTCAAGGACTTTCCTAGTGTACCAGCTCAGCAAATCAAAAAGAAAACTCCCAGTGACAGCAGCTTAGGCCAGCCACCTACAGTGGAGAAAGAGGAAAGATTGCATGATTGCACAAAAGACTACCTGAAGAACTACAATAGCCTTCCCCAACCTGGTGGCCTCCAGTTGAAGTACAATTCCCACAATTCCTAACCATTAGGCATACTGGCTGGGGCCAATGGGAGTTATCAAGTAAAACATGTGGATGGGTATCTTGTTGGAAGGGGGATTCATTGCCTCTGCATGGTTTCCCATATGAAAGAATGGCACCATCCTCTCTGGAGCTAGTTCCACAGCATAGAACTCAGTATAGCTCTTCTGATGGATACTTCTGTTGAAGCCCAAAATATCCATGGCAAACTGGCACAGCTCAGGAATAAAATCCCTTTGAAGTATTTCATGCACTATGCTATAGCATTTGTTGAATTAACATAAGTAGAACATAGACCCCAACCAAGATTGATGGGTTAGCTAAAGGATACTGTTGTTGTTAGTCATGAAGTCATGTCCGACCCATCACAACCCCATGGACGACATTCCTCCAGGCCTTCCTGTACTCCACCATCCCCCAGAGTCCACTTAAGCTCACGCCGACCGCTTCAGTGACTCCACCTAGCCACTTCATCCTCTGCCGTCCCCTTCTTCTTTTGCCATCTATTGTTCCCAGCATTAGGCTCTTCTCCAGGGAGTCCTTCCTTCTCATTAGGTGGCCAAAGTATTTGAGTTTCATCTTCAGTATCTGGCCTTCTAAAGAGCAGTCAGGGTTGATCTCCTCTAGGACTGACTGGTTTGATCGCCTTGCGGTCCAAGGGACTCGCAGGAGTCTCCTCCAGGACCACAATTCAAAGGCCTCAATCCTTTGGCGCTCAGCCTTCCTTATGGTCCAGCTTTCACAGCCATACATTGCAACTGGGAAAACCATAGCCTTGACTATACGCACTTTTGTTGGCAGGGTGATGTCTCTGCTTTTTAGTATGCTGTCTAGATTTGCCATAGCTTTCCTCCCCAGGAACAAGCGTCTTTTAATTTCTTGGCTGCAGTCCCCGTCTGTGGTCATCTTGGAGCCCAGGGGAAAAAAAAATCTGTCACTACCTCCATTTCTTCCCCATCTATTTGCCAGGAAGTGAGAGGACCGGATGTCACGTTCTTAGTTTTCTTAATGTTGAGTCCTTCATGGATCACTGCCTTGCTGTGGCGAAGGGGCTTGCGTAGCTCAATGAAGCTATGAGCTATGCTGTGCAGGGCCACCCAAGATGGACAGGTCATAGCAGAGAGCTCTGACAAAACGTGATCCACTGGAGAAGGAAATGGCAACCCACTCCAGTATCTTTGCCATGAAAACCGCATGGACAGTACCAAAAGGCAAAAAATGGATACTGCCCACCAAGAAATATTGAGCCTTTTTAGGACTATCAACAAGGCAAAGGTCCAGACAGAAACTAACAATTCATATACAGTGGTACCTTGGCTCACAAACTTAATCTGTTCCAGGACTCTGGTCTTGACCCAAATTGGTCGTGAGCCAAGTCAAATTTCCCCATAAGGTTCTATGTAAATAAGGTTAATCCGTTCTGTAACTATTTTTTTAATCACAAAAATTTGAAGCAAAGTGACAAACAACAACAAAGATTGTGGCCATCTCCCCCACCCCCACTCCAAGCACGAGTGTGGCCATCTCCCCCCCCCCCCAGGATTGCCCCCGTCCCCCCCCCCCCGGGGGCCCCCCCAACACCGGCCAAAAGGGGGGGGGTTTGGGGGGATGCTCGGGGGGGGGGGGGGGAGACAGGCATGATTGCAATTGTCACCCAATGTGGAGTTCGCAACCTGAGGCAAAAATTTTCAGAAATTTCTGCTTGCGACCCGATTTGGTCGTGAACTGAGGCGTTCATAAGCCAAGGTACCACTGTATTTGAAATCTCCAGATTCAAATAGATATCAAAACTACCTTAACTGGGGACTGTTTTAAACTATTTTAAGCATGGCCTTGTCTTTGTCATGGGTTAAGTAGCAAGGATCTGAAGCAAGGGCACAGTATTTATTTATTTCCTGGCTTTTTTTCCTTTCAAGGAACTCAAGGAGGCTTACATAATTCTCTTCTTCCTCTTATTGTCATAACAAAAACCCTGTGAAGTAGGTTGGGCTGAAAGTCTGTGACTGACCCAAAGTAATCCAGGTAGCTCCATGGCTGATTGGGAACTAGAAGATAGATCTCCTGAGTCCCTGTCCCACAATCTTAACCACTACCCCACACTGGCTCCTGACCTTTTAGCAGAAATAGTTAGCAAAAGGAAGGCAAATGTAAAGGCCATCAGGTGAAGGTCAAAGGCAAGAACTTCTTTGTACATATTTGACATATGCTAAAAAGAATGTTTGAAGGATTTTATGAAGGTGAAGCTTGGAAAGGAATATTTTAACAAATGAGCAACAAGTTGAGGAAAAAACAGAACCATGTTAGTGCAGAAAAATAAACAAAAGGAAAAAACAAGAATGAGCTAAAATAGTAAAGGAATTGACAAAATGTGAACAAGAATTACAGTAAGATCCATCCAAAAAAACCCTTAAGGTGCAAATATTCTAAAACATAAACTGAACCTCCTGGACACAAATGAACTCACTAAGCAAATGAAATTGACCAAACAGAACTTCTTTGAAAATGCTAATAAACCAGGGAGATGGTTAGCCTATAAAGTAAAGAAAGAAAGAGAGAAGAGACTGATATGTAAATTGAAGGATGGAGAAGGACAACTGCAAGTACAAAGTATACATATCAAGAAAATAGCAGAAGATTTCTTTGCAAAGCTATACCAGAATGATGAGATTTCAACTGAGAAAGTAAAAGAATATATCCGAAAGGGAGACCTGCCAAAGTTACCGGAGAAATACCAAAAAGTATTGATTCAAGAAGTAACAATCACGAAAGTAATAGAGGCAATTAAGCGACAAAAGAACGATAAAACTCCTGGCTCGGATGGGCTACCAGCAGAGTTTTATAAATCCTTTGAAGGAATTTTTGCTACACTTCTTAAGGATGTATGTAATGCAGCATTGTTAAATGCTAAAATACCAAATACTTGGACAGAGGCAAATATCACATTAATACCAAAAGAATACACGAACTTGATGCAGATTCAAAATTATAGACCGATATCACTATTAAAAGTGGATTACAAAATTTTTGCCTCCATAATAGCAGAAAGATTGAAGAAGTATCTAACAGACTTTATTCACTCAGATCAAAATGTTTTTTTTACCTAAAAGACAAATGAGGAATAACTTGAGAACTATCTTGGACATCTTAGAGTATTAAGAGATACATACGGAAAAACCAATGGCACTATTATTCATGGACGCACAGAAGGCTTTTGACAATGTTAACTGGCAATTTATGAAGCAACAGCTAGCTCAAATGGAGTTTGGTGAAAAGTTTATTAATGCAATATCAAGCATCTATCAAAAGCAGTCTGCTAGGATTATAATAAATGGAGAATTTACAAATATTATAGATATACAAAAAGGTACAAGACAAGGATGCCCGCTATCACCTCTGTTGTTTATATTGATCTTAGAAGTGTTAAACAGAAATAGCAGGGATGATATGGACATTAAAGGCACTAGAATCAGAGATGAAAGCTATAAACTCCAAGCATTTGCAGATGATCTAGTTTTCATAATGGAGGAACCCTTAGTAACAATGCCTAAACTCCTACAAAGGATTGAAGAATATCCTGAAACTGAAGCTCAATCCAGACAAGACGGAGGTCCTGTTGGTTGGCGGATCGGGCTTCGGAGAGGGTGAATTGAACCTTGTCCTGAATGGGGTTGCACTCCCTCTTAGGGACAAGGTCCGCAGCTTGGGAGTGCTCCTCGACCCAGAGCTTTCACTGGAAGCTCAGGTAACAGCAGTGGCGAGGAGCGCTTTCCTCCAGCTTCGGCTAATTCATCAGCTGCGCCCCTATCTGGAGAATGACTGCCTTGCGACAGTGACACATGCGTTGGTGACTTCCCGTTTGGACTTCTGTAACGCGCTCTACGTGGGGCTACCCTTGAAGACGGTCCGGATACTTCAATTGGTCCAAAATAGAGCTGCCAGGCTGCTGACGGGGACTGGACGTTATGTTCACATGACTCCAGTTCTCCGTCAGCTTCACTGGCTTCCCATTGAAGTCCGGGCCCAATTCAAGGTGTTGGTTATGACCTATAAAGCCCTAAACGGCTTGGGTCCTGGTTACCTGAAGGAGCGCTTACATCCTTATATGCCCAGCCGCCCCCTGAGATCGGCGGGAGAGGCCCTTCTCCGGGAGCCCTCCATGGAAGAAGTTAGGAGGGTGGTTACTCGGAGGAGGGCTTTCTCTGTGGTGGCGCCTAAGTTATGGAATGCGCTCCCCAGAGAGGTCCGCCTGGCGCCGTCGTTATTTGTTTTTCGGCGCCAGGCGAAGACCTTTTTATTTAAGCAGTATTTTAAATGTTAATATTATTGAATTTTATTTGGCCAGGGCGGCTTGTTTTATAGTGTATGTTTTATATTATATATTTGTATTTTATTGTATGTATTTTAAAATGTTATTTTATTTTTTTGTTGTAAGCCGCCCCGAGGCTTCGGCGAATGGGGCGGCATAAAAATGTTTTAATAAATAAATAAATAAATAAATAAATATGGCAAGGTTACTGGGATGAAAATAATTAGAGAAAAGATGACATTGTTAGCAAAAAATCTCACACAGGAGCAGAGAAAAACTCTGCTGGAACGAGTAGACTTGCAGATTGTTAAAAAGGTTAAATATTTGGGAATTTATCTTACAGCTAAGTGTACCACTCTGAAAGAAGACAATTATGATAAACTATTTAAGGATATTAAGAGTGATTTGGAGAAAAGTGCTAATTTGCAATTATCCTTGCCGGGAAGAATAGCACTAGTTAAAATGAATATATTAGCAAAGATTTTGTTTCTATTCCAAATGATTCCCATAAAAATTGATAGAAATTTTTTTGATGATTTAAATTTTCAAATCTCAAGATTAATATGGAGAAAGAAGAAACCAAGGATTAACTTAAAAATACTTCAGGAGGCTAAAGAAAATGGGAGTTTTGGTCTCCCTGATTGGATGCTGTACTATCAAGCTTCTGTTTTAACGTGGCTAAAAGAATGGATAACTTTAAGAAATAAGAGAATCTTGTATCTTGAAGGGCATGATTTGCAAATGGGTTGGCATGCTTATATGTGGTATGAAAAGGCTAAGCTACATGGCTCTTTTTTAAGTCACTATATTAGGAAATCATTAATGTCGGTGTGGGAAAATTTAAAGACAAAATTGTATAATAAATTACCAAGATGGCTTTCACCTATGGAAGCTTTTGTATATCCAAATGCATTGAACTTTGAAGGGATCATAAGGTATGATGACATTCTGGATAATGATGGAGGATTGAAATTGAATCAAGAAACACAAGAACAAGGATCTAATATTTCTTGGTGGCATAAAGTGCAAATACAATCGCGATATGCTAAAGACTATAAAACGTGGGGCTTTTATAAAGATTTAACAGCATTTGATCAGGTGATGCTTAAATCAGATGAGAAAATGATTAAAAGACTATATAATTTCTTACTTGATAGGAGAATGGAAGATGAACAGGTTAAGGAAACTATGATAACGTCGACACAAAACTATAATATTGAATTAGAAAAATGGCAAAAGCTGTGGGAGAGAAATATTAAGGTAACATTAGCAACTTTGTATAAAGAAAACCTGTATAAAATGTTTTATAGATGGTATCTGTCGCCAAATAGATTAGCTAAGACGTTTCCAAATATGTCAAATGGATGTTGGAAATGTAAACATAAACTGGGTACTTTCTATCATATGTGGTGGACTTGCGATAATGCGAAAAAGTATTGGATTAAAATACATAAATGGCTTGAGGAAATGTTACAAAAATCCTTAGCTTTTAAACCTGAAGTCTTCTTATTAGGCATTATACCTGTTGATATTAGTAAACAAGAAATGTACTTGATTGTACATGTAATTACTGCAGCGAGGATTGCATTTGCTCAACACTGGAAAAGTGAAGAATCACCCACCGACAAACTGATCCTGAAAAAGATCTTGGACTGTGCAGAAATGGATAGATTGACTTTGTCATTGAAGGAGAAAGAAGATACTCATTTCTATCAAACTTGGGACTCTTTTTATTATTGGCTAGAGAAATGGGACTTCGTATAGATTTAAATCATTTCTAAGTTATCATAAATGGAAAAAAATGTGGGGGCTGACCCAGCAGGTCCGATGTTTCTGATGATTGATGTTTTTAGTTTTTCTTTGTTTTAGGGTTATAATTTTGAATAAAGTTATTATAAAAAAAATCAAAGATAAATCTTGAGTGAAGGGAGGACTATGTAACCTGTAATTCTTTGTCATGGTCTCTGTGTATCACATATATGGGTGCTGCACCTGCGCAGTGCCTGTATTTGGGAAGATTCTTTCAGCTAATAACATTTTTGGCAGGAACTCCGCTCCCCCACCCCCTCGTATAAATGGACGGAGATAGTGAAGGGAGGACTGTCCTGTTGTAACTGTCCTGAATTTGCGCACCAAGTTGACAATATCATTGGTCCTTGTACTAAAAGGCTTTCATATATGAGCAAATCTCCTGGGCGGGCCATGATGGCTGCACCCATGCTTGATACCACAGAGCAGTGGAATCCGCAATAGCCTAAAGTCTCTGTCTGCCATCTGACAAGTCTGGATTGGCTGATTTGCAAATTAATAGGTCTTTTTCTTTAATATTCATGTAAGTTCTCTTTTGTAATCCAGAAGCTGATAAAAACTGAAGGAGACTTTTCGAAATGTTGATACCAAGGCACAGATGAATGTAATGTCTAATAATCTGCAGTCTACGAAAGGGCAACAGAAGAGAAAAAATCCCAACCCATAATATCTAGCTTGCGGTTCTCGCAATCTATTGGGGCTAATCATAGAGTAGTAAGGTTGGTAGGGGCCAAGAAGGTCATCAGGTCAGGACACCAATTTATACCATTCCACTCAGATGATTGTTCAGTTTCTTTCTGAATGTCTCTAGTATGGCAGCTGGTTCCACGTCGTATTGCTCTGACAGTGAGTAAACTTTTCCTGATATCTAGCCTGAATCTGTGTTGTCGCAACGTGAGTTGATTATTCTATGTCCTACACCCTGGCATCAGTGAGAAAAGATCTTGACCTTCCTCTCTGGGACAGCCTTTGAGGTGCTTAGAGAGTAATATCATGTCCCGCCTCAGGAGGCAGATGTATCACCTGATGGTGAGTAGAATTCTTATGGTATGCCTTTCTCATGAATGCTTAGTAATAAGATCAAGAGTCCATCACACGCCCCTTGCCCCAGCAGAAAATGCAGCAAGTGTGGCTGTCTAAAGGATGAAGCCTGCCACAGCCTGCATATCTATTAACCCTAGATGCCTTATCAGCAAAGACAAAACCCAAAATGTTTACCTTCCTCACAGATCAAATTTATGGCAGTCAAGAAGGAATAAAGCCAGGAAATTGGGGGGCACATCCTTCTAAGCATGTGTCCTGAGGACTGGGGGTGGTGGGAATATTTATTTCATTGTATAGCTCTAGTGAATTCAGAAGATTGCTCTGCATAGACACAAAACTATATGGGACTGAACGGATATCACCAAAAGAGACACTATCTGACATAGTGTTGCATCTGTCACAAGTGCTATCTATTGCTGGCAGATGTAGACATAGAGTTTCAGGTGAAACAACTGGAAAGCCAAAATTCCATTTTCCCACAGTAAAGGGCAAATGAAGGTGGTGGGGGAGAATGGTTAAAGTTTACACAGTTTTCCTTGCTATAACAATAGGTAACTAGAGAGCTCTGTAATCCTCTTATTATATTAAAAGTGCTAACACATTTAACCTTTAATAAGGAAATGCTATGTAGAAAACAATAAGCTTAGAAGCACAACTGAAAAAGTATTTATATTCTCATCTAGGACAAAAATGCAAAAGATACCAGGTTTGATCCAAGCTTCCCATGAAATAATCTCATGCTTTACTAGAGGCAATACAGGCAAGGCAATTTTCACTGATTCCTCCTTTCTCCTGCAACCGCCTGTGTCCTCTGAAAAGCTGTTTTTGTCAGCTATGGAATACTCTAAAATACTTTTAGAGGTGATGTGACAACTGTAGTGGAAAGGAAAATTGACAAAAACTGCCTCCCTTACTTCTCCAACAGAAGACTCAGCTTCAGTGAACGACAGGATCTGTTCCATTCATAGAAGGGACATCCTGGATCCAACACAATAGATACAAGCAGGAAAGAACTGATATTTCAAAACACCTACCGCCAAAGCTGCCTGATAATGGTTGCGATTCTGGAGAACTGTTAATAATTCCTTTGATTTGGCCACAAGAAACACAGTTATTCACACTTGAATTTGGAGCTAATAATGGTCTCAGTACCTGGGAAAGCAAGCATACCATTCAAGCCTAATATATAATCCATTTATGTATACAATACTAAAAATATGAATTTTATATATATTTATTGACAATGCTTTTATACCTCTTAATATGCTAAAATGCCCGAGAAATTCACAATAAAATATATACATAAAAGCAAGGTAAATAATAATTAAAGTAATAGTTAAATTCCATGTGACAAATATGTTTTCAAGAGAAATTATAAAATTGTCACCAGTTCCTCTGAAACCACATGTATGAGGATATTCGAAACCTCAGGTGCCACCACTGAGAAAGTCCACTTTTGTGCCATTCCATTCATAGCAAACTACCACAGGGAAGTGATTCCCAAAGTGGGTGGTACTGCCCCTCAGGGGTGGTGGTGATTGTTTTAAATTTGCAGTAGAGTAATATACCCAAGACAAAGAAAGAAGCATGGGGGCACTAAGGTTGTCTCCCAAGAGGAAATGGGGCAGTAGCCTGAAAAGGTTTGGGAACCACTGGACTGCAGTATATGCAGGGGAAGGCCATGATAACCAGATTGCAAGTTATTAAAGGCTTTGCATAACAACAAAAACTTGAACATGGATAAGTTAGCTAATAGGCAGCCAGTGGTTTTAACAGAGCCATTAGATGTACTTCTATAAAGCCCCTCCTAAAGAAGGTGATGACTGCAGCCAAGAAATTAAAAGATGCTTGCTCCTTGGGAGGAAAGCTATGGCAAATCTAGACAGCATACTAAAAAGCAGAGACGTCACCCTGCCAACAAAAGTGCGTATACTCAAGGCTATGGTTTTCCCAGTTGCAATGTATGGCTGTGAAAGCTGGACCATAAGGAAGGCTGAGCACCAAAGAATTGAGGCCTTTGAATTGTGGTGCTGGAGGAGACTCCTGCAAGTCCCTTGGACCGCAAGGCGATCAAACCAGTCAGTCCTAGAGGAGATCAACCCTGACTGCTCTTTAGAAGGCCAGATACTGAAGATGAAACTCAAATACTTTGGCCACCTATTGAGAAGGAAGGACTCACTGGAAAAGACCCTAATGCTGGGAACAATTGATGGCAAAAGAAGAAGGGGACGGCAGAGAATGAGGTGGCTAGATAGAGTCACTGAAGCAGTTGGTGTGAGCTTAAGTGGACTCCGGGCTATGGTGGAGGACAGGAAGGCCTAGAGGAATGTTGTCCATGGAGTTGCGATGGGTTGGGTGCAACTTCGCAACTAACAACAAAGAAGGTGACCCTGGATCCAGAAGACATTAACAAGTATAGGCCTGTGGCCAATATTTTCTTGGGCAAGGTGCTTGAGCAGGCGAGGGCTGAGCAGCTCCAGCCACTTTTGGAGGAAACTGACTATTTTGATCCGTTTCAGTCTGGCTTCAGGCCTGGTTTCAGTACAGAAATGGCCTTGATTGCCCTGTAAGATGACCTTTGCCCAAAAAAAAAAAACCCAGGGAGAGTTGGGTCTCTTGGACCTCTCACTGGCTTTTCATACCACTGATCATAGTATGATAGTGCTGGGAGAATATGGATCTGCACAATGGCCTCTATGCCATGGAGTTCCACGGGGTTCCATATTATCCCCCATGCTGTTTTCAGATCTACATGAAATCACTGGGAGAGGCCATCAGGAGGTTTGGACTGAACGTCATCAGTAAGCAGTTGATACTCAGCTCTACCTCTCCTTTTCATATGACCGAGCAATTTCTGTTCTGAACCAGTATCTGAGTGAGATGATGGGCTTGAATTGAAACAATCCAAACAAGATGGAGGTACTATTGATAGGTGGGTCTTTGGTCTAAATAGATGATAGTCACCCTGTCCTAGACAATGTGGCACTCCTGCTAAAGAACAGAGTGTGAAGTTTAGGGATGATTCTGGACCCGGTGAGCTTAGTGGCCAGGAATACCTTTTACCATCTTTGGTTGATTTATCAGCTCCATCTACATCTGGCTAGGCAGAACCTGGCAACAGCAATCCATACCCTGGTAACCTCTTTGGACTACTGTAATGCTCTTTACATGGGGCTGACCTTAAAAACTGTCTGGAACTTCAATTGGTTCAAAACAGAACAATTTACTTCTTAGTGAGAACTCCTGGGCATGAGCATATGTTACACCATCTACACTGATTGCCAATTAAGTCTGAGCCCACTTTAAGATGCTTGCTCTGCTATATAAAGCCCTAAATGGTTTAGGACCTGGATATCTGATGGAATGTCTCCTCCCATATACACCTGCCCAAACCTAAAGATCATCAATGGAGGTCCTTCTCTGGGAGCTACTGCTAAAGGATATAAGGAAAGTGGCCACTAGAAGGGTCTTTTCAGTTCTGGTGTCCCATTTGTAGAACTAGCTCTTCAGAGGTGTGCCTGGCACCAACCCTTTACAATTTTAGGCACCAGGCTAAAACCTCCCAATATTTTAACTGTTGAAAAAATTATTTTTATAGCACTGTGGATTATTTAATTATTTTTATTTTTTGTGCATATTTTACTTTTGTTGAATATATTTTATGGATTGTTATTGCGATTTGTTTAGTATTGAAATGCTGAATTATTGTTATATTTTAATTTTGTAAATCATCCACAGAGCTGCTAGTAATAAGAACAGTATAAAATGTTTCAAATAAATAGACATATCTATGTTCTCCACTAAATATTTCATTTCTGCATTCTGTACCAGCTACAGTTTCCAAATGAGACACAAGGATAGTCCCATGTAGAGTTCCTTACAGTAATCTAATTATGAGATTACTAGTGTACTGATCACAGTGTCTAAGTTTTTCTTATCAGGGAATGCACATTGTTGGTGCACCAGCTAAGATCTGTAACAGGCAGTCCAGGTCATCTGAACTTTCAATACAAAGAGAGATCCCAGAACACCCCCAAACTATGTACCTGTTCCTTCAGAGGCAATGCAACCCCATCCACAAATTAGCCAGACCTGAGAACCATCCACCTATTAGCTTCAGCTCATTAGTTCTTCACCAGCCCCTAACTATATCTAGACAACTTTCCGATAAAGAGGGTAAATTATCCTTCCCTGATCTTTCTTTATATCATCAGACTTATCTGTTGACTTTTAATATATTTTGGCCTTTCCTGCTCAGATTAGACTTTTCTCCCAGGTTAGTCTTGGAATTTTCATGTTTGGATCCTGTGCCCAGTTGGATTCCACATGCTTCTTAGTGTACTGAAACAAATAGGGTGCCTCCTACAGTTAATGGCAATAAGAAAGTAGTACTTACTTTCAAATCAATTGCAGTTTATTTTTGTTTGCAAAATTAACCCTCTGGGGAAACCCAGTCTTAAAAGATTGGCAAGAAAATGTGTGTCTAGAATACTTATTTATATTTAAGGCTTTATTTATAAAACTGCACCCAGTAGTTGCAACCAGGACCCTCTGGGCAGTAACTTGGATAGAAAGCTGATTTTTATTTCAGATTAGCTTGCAGATCATGATGATATGTTCTGCTATTCACAGTTTTGCCTGATTATGAACTGCCAGCTACAGATGCATGGCAATATATGCAACACTTGTGAGAATCAAGGTTGTGCTCTGCACAGTTTCAGGATACCCTTTGTTATTGGGAGTACTGATTTATGTTGAACAGCTATACCAGTCCATATTCTATCTTTACCAATATTTATTATTGGTGAATAAATATGATATACTGGGCATTAAGAAAGAATGGAATAATAAATTGAAGCACCCTATTTTTTCCAGTCAAGAAATACTTCATTGAAATCTATTTCAGAAGAAGAAACCTATTTATTCTATTCATTTATATACCACCCAATAGCTGAGGTTCTCTGGGTGGTTTACTAGTTAGCCACACATAATGTGTGGCTAAAGTTAATTTTAAGTTTAGAACACACACACAATAATAAATTTAAAAAGAAAACCATAATTGCAATTGCTTTTATTCAGCACAGAAAGGGAATGGGTTGTAGGTTACATTTAATTCAGCAAAGATTGATCTTTGGATTCTACATCTTTTTAATAAGGGCCTATGTGACTCTATCAGAGTTGGAGGTGCAGTGAAGCTTATGTTCTTTTATGCATGGTTTGGCAATGCCCAGTTGCTGCTGGCCATGTAATGCTGGATTGTGGATATCAGCCAAAATTGCCCAAGGCAATACCCTCATTTGATAGAACCCTTAGTTTTATGTGAAGGGCTACATTTTTATATGATTAAATTCATATTTATTATATGGCGTTTAAGCCTTATTCTAATAGATATTGTTAGTCAACTATATAAGCCACAATTGATTTATTCCAATACTTATTATTTAAAATAAAATGATTTTTTCACTATTATGGACCATATATTTTATTTGGAAAATCAAAGATTATCTAGATTAATTAGAACAAATATTAATCACTTATTTGTTTAAACTTATATTTTGTTTAGAAGGATCCCAAAACACACACATCACTGATAAAGTTTTCCAGTGAATTCAGTAAAAGGACAGGTCAAGAAACTAAGCACATATAGATGGATGGAATGAAATTAGCTACATATAGTCTTGTTATAATGTGAAATTTCTAAGATTTTGAAACCATGAGGAAGTGGCTGTTTACGCTAGCATTTTTCAGAAGAAAAAAAAGGAATTGAAGAGAAAATGAGCAACATTTGGTTCTGTGTTCTTTACAGATTGAAAGCCACTTGATAATTATTGTAGGAATAAATTGTATGTTTCAGTTTAATATATCAAACATGATAATTTTATAAGCAAACTAAAATAGAAATCAAATATTTTAAGTACCTATTTTATTCCTGAATAAAGCAAACTTCAGCAAGTAATTCCAGAAATGTTTGAATCTTCCTAGAAGCCAGAATTAGGAAAAACTCAAAGCAGAGGGAGACTGATATGTGGCTATTTCTATTTGTAAGGAAGTTTCGGCAAATCCCTAAATTTGTCCTTGCTTGTGGTGTAGAGCTTAGGGAAATCTGAAGGAAAAGCTATTGCTGAGAAAGACTCAGCTTAGGAATGGTAACCAACCATTTTTAAGAACTTTTATGCAATCTCAAACTGTTGCTTGAAGGGTGAAATAATATTCAATAAAAAGCATTTTATTTGATTTTTTATAAATTATTTCCATTAATGAACATCTTTTTTTCATGTTGAAAAGTTGCCTGTAATGGTCATCTCATTCCCATGCCTACACCATAGGAACTAAGCGAATAAATCTCTTTTAGATAGCAACAGTATATGAAATGACTCTATTGGGAACCTTACAGAGAGAACTGAAGACATTTTCTGTGAAAGTGTCATTATTTCCAGATGTTTTCCATCTCTAGTTTTAAAAATAAAAGCCAAAGCTGTTCATTATTTTTTGGGGAAAAAAACCCCAAAAGAGATATTGCAGGGAAAAAGAGAAAATGCATTTTT